AAAGAAAGATCGTTGACTACATAAACGTTATTTATGTGTTTCAAAGAATTGATCCAAGCAATTTTTCAAATGCAATTTTAACCAAAATCAAACAGTTTGAACCTAAAATAACGCACACAGGCATTGATTTAGATTATAAATACAGTAATGCTAAAACTATTTCTCAACTGGTGGAGCTGTAGGACTGCTTTCCCAAACCTCCCTTTTCCGTACTCTGCTGAAAGAATAAAACGAACTTCGAAATTTTATTAGGACACTTTTTAGGTCACCAAATATCTATGAAAAGGATGGTGTCTTACATTTCTCATCTTTTGAAAGTTGTTTTTGTCTTAGATCAGCGATTGGCCCCACTGTGCGATACAGGGATCCCCATCCCTCCAAGGTCGATGAACCTTCCCTACCCAAGATATTTTATTACTGTCTTCTTCTTAAAAAATGGTGCTAGCAAAAGTAGCATTTAAATCAGGGGGCGGGGTGGCCGAATAGGATAAAGCGTGTGTAACAGCACCGCTAGTTGCCTGGCAACCGGATAACAGAGATTTGAGATGATAAGTACGAGTTCGCGTCCCGGTTCCGGAGGGGATTTTAAATTCCCCGTCCCCGCCCTCACCCCCCGGCCCGGGAAAATCCCGTATAGCCTAAAAGGCGAGGTAGGGAAGAGAAAAAAAAAAAAAAAAACCCTGGTTTGAAACATTTCATTTCGAAAATTTGCAACACTGTCGAAATGTGACCCCCTCAAAAAGACAAAAAATTCTGTCAAAATGTGCCCCCCTCAAAAATGATGATGGCGCATCTTTTGTCATGAAATCTCCTTCTGGGCACCCCTGGTGCAACACTACATGGAAAATGTAAAAAAAAAAAAAAAAAAAGAATATATATAAGGCTTAGTGAAATAGCCATTTATATATTTGCTTGCCCCATTTTTTGTGAAATGTCTAAACGCAACTTTAGAAATATTTTTCTCGACAGGTGCTTACATTTAACAGCTATGTACACGTTATAAATTATAAAAGAGTATCTGTAACACTACAACCCATGAAGGGTCTTGAGTTGTTCTATTTAGGGAAAGCACTGTTTCTGGGTCACGGATGTGCAAGGATGTGATTTGACCGAGATCACGCTCAACCGCCAGGTTTTCTAATTAATTATTTTAATTAAGGGTACGTACTTTTTAGAGGCTGGATTTGCCCCAGGGGGTCTACCTACCCAGGGTCACCCCACGGCTAGAGGTGGGCGTTTCTACAACTGTTTGTTGATCAAAAACAACAGTTCTTAATAACTGTTGAAAAAAATAGTTCATAGAACAATGCAACGATTCATGGATTAATACCTATCCATTTAATAAGTCTGGAAATGAATAAACCGTTTTATATATGAAGTTTGGCATTGTTCGAGCTTGAAATTGATAACCTTTGAATTTATATGTAATATTACATGAATGTTTAACTCAAAATTTTCTTTTTAACTAATTAAAACTAAAAATTATTTATTGCACATGGAAAATTTTTTATTTTAATATTTTGACTTTCTTGTATGTTCGAAGTTTCAAATCATGTTGCTTGGTCATCATGGGTCTCTTAAGTGTAGTTTAAACAATTTTTCAATTGTTTGCCTTTTTCAATTGTTATAGAACATAATATTGTTTAATTTTATTTATGCAATTAAATTGATTCATGTGAATATGCTCAATCATAAAAATTATTTTCAGTCTGCAAGACACTAATATTGATAGATACATCTAAAACTAATTTTGCCTACTAATATGCTTAAGTTAATTTAGTAATTTAGTAACTATGATGAAAGTTTTTATTTATTTCTAGACTTCATTAATAATGGGAGCTAAAAACCCTAAACTTAACAGTTGAAACATGTCTTATTAAAAAAAACTGTTGGGTTATTTTCATAATGAACTAATAGGAAAGCCGAAAGACCTTTTGTTTCGTTTGGAAAAAATGAAACGAAAATCAGATCAAACAGCATCTCGACTAGTGACAAACGGATGAACTAAAGAAAAACAACTATTATCCGATTGAAAGAACAGTTCATTCGTTTGAGACCAAGAACTGTTCTTTTCAAACGTTTGGAGTTTTCTCTCCCACCCCTACTCACGGCTAATGAAACATAATAATGAAAGTAAAGAGTACACATATTGTAATTATTGAAATATTAGTTCTGGTCACTCAGAATAACAAATATAAAAAAAATTATTTTCCTAAATAGGAAGCTTTCAGATCGAAAACCCTCTCCCTCCCGTCCTCGTAGATCCAACATTGATGAACAGTGATTTATGGTGAGTTCAGGAAAGATGTAATAAACGGAAAACACAGGCGGTTCTACCAGAGGGCTCTGGGGCTTTTTTGTTTTTGTTCCCAAGTAATCATCGTTATATATTTTTAAAAAATGCTTTCAGGCTGAAAAATTAAATCTTAAATCTTGGATCCGTTAGTAGCGAAAGGTTGAAATTCCTGGTATGCTACTAAACACATGAAAAATACAGAAATGTGCCTAAATAATTATCTACTGAATTCCAGAATTTAAAACAGAAATAAATATAGATAGTAACTAAACATAAATATGGAAAATAAATTGCAAAATACCAATGCTGAGGTTATAATGAGGTTACATCCAAAGGATGGGCAAATTCTTGAACTCAGCGCTGAGATTATTGATAAGCATCGAAATTCCATCAGGTCGTTCTTAAACTCAACGATGTAACAGTGAGCTAGTTCATAAATGCAGCGCCGAGATCATTGATAAGCATCGGAAATCCATGACTGGATTAGTGCATAGTCAAGAAATTTGCCCATTATCAACGAATTCCATATAATTATATCAATAACAGTTATAAGGACAAATATTTTTCAATCCAAACATTTTATTCAGTGAGATGTTAACTAAGATAAATAATACATTGTTAATCGAAGGCTATAACATCTAGTTTTAGAATTAAAATTTATTAAACCGTTTGCAGATGTCTCTTTGATCCCCCCCCCTATCCGTTTCACTCGATGGACAGAATCATCTTCCACTTAAATGTTCTTCTATTGAAACCAATAAATTAGGAATTAATACTATCTATTACTTTTGCGAAGTCTGTCTTCTCATAATGATATATTTTTATCTTATTAACTACTGATATTTATATTAATGTGTTTGTTCTATAATATATTTTCTCAAAGAACCTGAAATTTCAATTAGTTTATTCAATTTTACTAACGAAATTATGCTGAGCTGGTCTCATGATTGGAATAGATATGTCTTTTAAGAAAAGATAACTTTTATTTATTTTTATATTCAAAAGAATTGAATAGACTAAACCCTCCAAACGCGGTGTGATCACAACCGAAAACAAACTCCTTCACAGGTGGTCAATTCCCCTTGCTACACCCCTAAGGGATCAGTTTTACGATAGATTAGTCCAGTTTTTATTATATTTTCGTATGTAATTGGTGATATCATATTTACAAATTGCAAAGAAAATATTAAAACTTATACAAAACATCGCTAATTGCATTGTATTTCAGGTTTAATTGTGCTGTCCCAATTAATTTCCTTTTACCAAAAATGTTCCCCAATACTATCTAGTGCTTATTTATTTTCTCTAGTTAGTGCTGTGTTAATCATTATAAAGTACACCGAAGTTTTGTGACCAAGGTGATAGATAATTTTTTAAGTGATGTGAAGCTGTTTTATGAAGTTATATGGTTAATTTTATGTGGTTCAATGTTTGATAGGATCACCATTAGTACACCCATGGTTCAAGAAAGATGTCTCGAAATGATAAAGGTCGAACACCAAGTTTTGTAAGTATATTAGATATTATTTATATATGGTCTTGTATGTGGATAATTAGTTAGTTTCTTTCATTATATAGATATAATACAATGAATATTTAATCTCGGATGAATACCAAGTTCTGCACTAGTTGCTACTCAATGTGTTAATTAACTTTATGGCCATTGCAATCAGTTAATTTTATTTCTGCCTTCATATCTGCATTTGTGTTGTTTTTTTATTTAAAATTAAACCAATATGACATTATTTTGTTTATCAATACTTTTGAAAATGCCCTGGATTTTGCAGTGTTTAATTCGTTCAAGATTTTGAAACCACGGTAATTTTATTGTCATTAGAAATTTATCGAAAAAACTGATTTTCCTCTTGTTATTTATGATTGACAGCTTTGTTGCTAATATTAACTTGATAGTGTAACCCCGAAATTTGTTTTTAGATATCTCTCCAAAATTAGATTATAGTGGGTGGACAGATGACAGTCATCCTTAAATATATACTCATTTTTAATTCAAGAGAAAATAAATAAAACATTGAAAAAGTTATTTGAATTAAGTATTCCTGTCTGCCTATTCAAATTAAAGAATTGTTTTACAAAGAGAAAATTTATATTTAAACATTCAGAATTTCGCTGCATTCTATGAATATAATTTTATATGTATCTTTGAATAGTAAGCTTTTATTTAATTATTGTTCCGTGAGCAATAGCAATGTTACAGGTTTGTTAAATTTTGTTTGATAAATTTTATTTATATTTAAATTTGACCGTAAATCTTGTTTTATAAGGTTACATAGATTAATTTTTATTTGTTTTAATTGTATATATTTTAGCTACTACATTTATAAAAATAATGAAGTGCATTTTTTATTTACAAAGGTACTATGCTAATATAATAAAAAAGAAATTGTGTTACATTTTTTTTGTCTAGTATATATTATTTGAAATGATTTAACTGGTTCATTAATTTCTTGTTCTATTTATGTTTTTCAGTCTATTATTCTTAAGTATTTATTGACTATTGACTGAACAAGTTGTGAAGGCAATTTGAATGAACAGCCTTGAAGAATGATGTCATTCTCATGTTATGATTAACCTGATGTCATGTCTTTCACCACCTTTTGTTCATGGATTCAAAACTGAAGCCCTTTTCTTTTGAAACTTTGGATTCCTTAATTTTCAATGAATTTGCTAAATGAATTTGATTGACCTTTCATTAAATGTTTAAGATATTTAGAATACCTTGTTTATAGTTTGGATATTATGAGATTGAAAAGAATTAGATAGAAGTTTCCATAATCCTAGAATTGCCATTTTGAGGACTAAACAACGTATCATAGTATAACTCTTCTGGCAGTTTGAGAGGCATTAGTTTTTTTTAGCTATAGATTTGGTTATCTGTTGATAATGTTGGACAAACCCTGTAGCTTATCTCAGGTTTTCTTATCTGTTAGGTGTGTTAGAAACAGTCATATTACCTGTAAATCATGTTTTTACCTTGTTTTTTCAGTTTCCAACTTTATTAATAATGAAATCTACCAAGCCTACTACTTTGGCTTTAGCTGTTGCTGTTAATGAAACTGTAAGACTTAATTTTTTTGATCTCTCTCTTTTTTGTTTTTTTGTCTTATATAGACATTTGTCTTTGGAGGCAATTTATTTTCTATCTAAACAAATGCCACAATTACATTGCCTGTTTACACTATTTCACATGGTAATAGTGGGTGCAATTTAAAATATAGATATAGGTGTTAAACCATTTTCTAGCTCTTTTTTTGTTTTCTTTGATTGTATCAATATTAATTATCTATCACATGTCATTGTATGTTATCTATAATAGAAGAGAAGGATTGTTGGGGTGATCAGTCAAATTGAAATGGTAAAAAATAAATAATTTTATTTATTTTTACATTCACTGGCGTTTCGGCCAGAAGTTCAGGCCAACATCAGGGCTGGGAAAAGACTATGTTATCTATAATAATTAAATGTATAATGAAGATCATGCATGTATCAGTGGTATATGAACTCATTCTATTGCTTACATGTGTTTATGCATATATATTCATGTTAATAAATGTATACAATTGTTTATGTGTTTTAACTAATTTAGATAAGTAGTTGAAATTAAAACTTAAATTTAAATACAATTTACATTGATCATAAATTTTAGTAGTCAGTGTTAGTTTTATACTTGGTTTTCTTCATCATATTAAAGGATAAAGCAATGTACAAATAAAAATTTAATTTAATATAAAGAATAAGAAAATCTAACTATGGAATTATGTCTATCCATACTAAGGGAATGTACTTGCATATTTACTTTTACACCTTGGTAAATTGTTGGGAAAATTAATGTCTACAAATATTTGATCTTTGTTAAATAACCAGGTACCTTCCGCTCCTGTGCGAGACTGAAGACTCTTTTGGATGTTGAGTTGCATCAGTAACTGGGACCTTTTTTTTACTTTCCTACCTATACTAGGTAAGGAAAGTATTGTGATCAGGTCAAATTTCCTATGATTTTTGACGGATCTGTATGTTTCAGAGCCCCCTGAGTCCGAAAAACATATTTTAGCCAATTGTCTCTCTGTCTGTGCCAAGATTTTCGGGAACTTGTGGACCGATTTTGTTGCTTCTTTTTTATTTTATAGGGCTTTGACTACTGATGCCTGTGACACAAATTGAGTGCTCCATGCGCAATAGCTGCTGCTCAATAAATGAAAAACATGTTTTTCTATAGGCTGTAGTGCGAAAACTGCTGTAATGGTTTTGATTAAACTTTCCTATAATGTTCTAATAATTGTCCTTTCAATTTTTGTACCTGGACTAAATTCCCAAAAAAATTCAGTAAAAAAGTTATAAAGAAAAGAAAAATGTTTTGAGGTCTAACTTGCTAAGTATATATTCTATGGTAAAATTTATAATAAAACTTTTGAAAGGTAATTAAATTACCAACAAATCAAACAAAAAAAAAAAAAAAATCATCGGAATCGAAACAGTATTAGCGATGATATAGCGTATTCTAACTTCTAGACATGTTTTAATTTATTACTTTTCTACCTATACTAGGTAAGAAAAGAATAGCGGTCAGGTCAAATTTCTGATATACGGTTTTCGACGGATCTGTACGTTTCAGAGCCCCTCTGAATCTGGAAAAAACACTGTTTAGCCTGTTTTATTTTATTATTTCCAGGAAAATAAATTTAATTTATAAATTAAACTGGAAAATAGGAGGTTTCCAGTTCCCCCAGCAACTAGTCGAAAACGAGCTTCCACAGGGCTGGACCCAGGAATGAGCACTACGGACAGCCCCTCTCTATCCTCCTCTCCACTATCCTATTCTCCACATCAGCTGTTTGTTTAAAAATTATTACAAAACTTTTAATGGATAGATTAAAAATATTTTATACTAGAATATGTCAGTGCTTGGAGCCCAAAATGTTTCAAAACAATTTCATGGAATCTCACTGAATAATTTGAGTCATTGATCTTAAAAAGTTATCCAGCTGTTCGCAAAAAAAATATCATTATGTGGAAGCAGTCAACTCAAACACTTCATTACAAAAGAAAATCTGAAAAATTCAGAAAAACACAATAGACTTAAAATCCCAGAAGAATACTTATGTCATCTAAAAACAATTATAACAATGAAATTGTGTTGAAAAATTGAAAAAAGTCAAGTTTGGATTGGGGTTTTTCTATTTGGAGACCATTACTCAATGTATACTAGATCTTTTTGCAGATGTAATATTTAATTATATGGCTTTCGTGGAAAGTCTTTGTTGGCCTCGTTTTCATTGTGACAATGGTACATTATCAACTATCATTCTACTTAAGGCCAATAACATCAAAGAAACAAAACTTAATAAAGAAAAAAATAATAGTATTGTTCTTAATTGATTATTTTTTAAAATAAACTGTTAAAATATAAAGTTATCTCACTAAGTTTAATAACAGAGTAGTGAAAATAACAAATAAATATAAAAAAGTGTAATTAGTATTTACAATTAAATGAGCCTTTCACTTGATAGAATGACTAACTCCAATTTCAGCATTTTTTATTATTATTTTTACTATTATTTCTAGTGGGAAAATTTATATCTTTATTCACAGTTCTATACTTCAACATTGCAACGACCTACTCTGAAATTAACTTACTCCCTGTCTGTACAGATATTGTGAATTTTCCAACTATAAGTATCATTAAAATAATATTACTTAAAAATGTTGAAATTGGAGTTAGTCATTCTGTCAACTGAAAGGCTCAAATATTAATGAGGATATGTCATTCTGTCAACTGAAAGGCTCAAATATTAATGAGGATATTGTAAATATTGATTAAGATTAATTGCTGTTATCAATGTAAATTAAAATTATAGTATATTTGTTTATAAGGAAAAAAAAAAACTTAATAAAATGTAAATTATTTTATATATACGGGTAAAATAAATCATGGTGTTCTTTATAATTAACATTGTACATTAAACAAAAATAAATTGATTTGCAATTGTCTATCGGCCATATTTATGTGAAGTTTATTATTAGATTGCATTTGATTGTTACATGTAAGAAATTTATTGTTAAATCTTATTTTGGAACCTGTTTTTTTTTTAAGCTCGATGGCCTCTTTGGACGGCCATCGAAAAAGGAGAGTATGCGGATTGCTCCAGGGTCTGGGTATAAGCCCAGACCACATTCTGAAGGTGACTTATCGGAGCAGGACATTCAAGAAAAAATAATAGAGGATCTTGATGAACTAGCTCTTAACAAAAAATTGGAAGAAATATTGGTATGCTTTTGTTCATCATAATTGCTTTTAATAATATATTATTCTGTTTCCATATCTGCTCTAATTGATATTCATTAAATTTCAACAGAACCTTTATTCAAAGGGTGTGCCATTTTCATTGTTTTGGAGTGAGTGGAAATTAACCTTACTTTCATTATAATTTAAATTAATATCTGTTAGATTTGTTTTTAATTTTTTTATGTTTAAACATTATTATTAGTTATTAGTTCATACTCTTTTCTGTTTTTTATTAATTTCTGTTTTCTTCTCACACCTTGCCTATAGATCAAATTTAATAAAACAAATACTTGTAATTTATAATGATTTTTTTTTTTTGTACTTGACGTTTAAGAGATGTTTTATTCCTTTCTTCCCCGGTTTCGGATTAGTCCCAAACTAAGTTTAGTAATAATTCTAATAAAAGTAGAAGTAATGTGATTTTGTTTAGTAGAAAGAAGGTTTAGTCATTAACCAATAGCATGTAAAAAGTGTTGAACATATTTTTGCAGTAGTTTGAGTATGTCACAAACAAATGAGGATTTCAGTTGAGTAAGGCAGTATGTGAGAAGCATTCATTATTCATGAAGCATTCATCGCATTCATGATTTGTATTGATCGGAGGAATGGGAACTGATCTTGACCTGGGGGTAACCAGAAGGGAAGAAAGGGGAAAGTTGGATCAGCTGCTCCAAAATAATTTCTCCCTTTTTCATTTCCTTCAAACTAATTTTTTTAATAATAACGTAGCATTAAATATTTAGAAATTGAATACCTCTCCTATATTAGTAATTCCTAAATCCACAGAAATATATTATGAGGAGTAGTTAATAAAAAGCTTCTTCAATACATTCAAGTAAAAACAAAAACCTACTACAATTTCCAAGTGTTTGTACTATTAAATTTGACCTATATGCAAGATATGAGGAGGAAATAGAGATTATTATTGTTATTGTTGTTGACAGGGCCAATTTTAAATTTATTAAATGGCTAGTTAAATCAATAAATTTATTATTTTTAATAATTTAGAATGACATGAACCTTTCTGAAGAAAAAAAATCAGAAGTAAGAAATCTTCCAATTCGGAGTAAACAGGCAATGCTAGTCAATCATTATAAGGTATTTTTTCCCTTTAGTTTTGTAGAATTAATAAAATAAATAACTTTATTTTCTATTTAACACGATTTAATATAATACTTTTTCTCTCTTCTAACACTAACCACTCCTTAGTCTTTGTTTATCATAGTTTATTTTTTGCATAATTCTGCATTTTATTTACAGTCAAAGTTTATATTAGTCAATGTAAGTAGATTAAGCTTTTAAATTACTTAAGCCTAGTACACTCTAATAGACCTTGTTGCGCGATTTGTCTGTAGACCATCCAGAGACACCGTTCTTTGTCTCGTCTGGTGCTCACACTACCAGATGAATTTCTTAGGTCTCATCTTCACAGTTTACCGCAGAGGACATTGTTTTGTGTGAAATTAATTCCTATTTAATGCTAATCACAAGCAAAAAAAAACAACACGAAAATGTAGAGATTAGTGGAGGCACGAAGTGCTCGCAGAAGGATCTAGATTCGGTAATGCATAATTTAATTAGGCTGGAATGGAAGAGGCCAGGATTTTCAGAACTTCTCCACGGCTGTCATCAACTGTTTTCAAAGATTTCTTCTGATGGTTGGAAAACAGCCGAACCAACCACTCGATAGCTGGAGACAGAATGGGACGTGTCTCGCCTCTAGACGCCAATTGACTTCTACACTGTTAAAATGTTGCATGCTGCCTCCCATTCCAATCGGAAGACTATAGACCTGCAATTTTTGGTCTCAACAGACCCATGGACTGGGGTTTATCTATAGACATGACTAGGTAAACAACCTGAGACACGCCTCAAAGACCAAAATCTCACATGTCTACTAGTGTGGACTAGGCTTTAGATTAATTGTTTATTTGTATTGGAACGTAATAATATCTTACTTATCTTACTAATTTTTAAATTGATGATATTTTATTTAACTTTAGTCCTTAATTTGTGTCCTAAGGTAATTCTTTTCTAAATATTAATCAGTAATTGAAGCACTGTCATAAAACATGATAGCTAAAAAAAATTTCCAAGTAGCAGTTTTTGCCATCACTGGTTTTTAAAAGATTCTGTTAAAAATTTGTTTTTGTTTTTTTAAATAATTTTAATATTAAGTAAAGGTATTAAAGTATGATGAGTGAAAGCTGGTTGGAAATAAAACATAGTATCTATCAAACATGGCTACCCATTGTAATCTGTTTCTTAGTAATAAGGAACTTGAATCAAATGCTTTAAACATTAATTATAAATCTGACAACTGCTATTTTTGTAATGCCGTTTATGAAGACCCGGGATTAGATATTATTTATGAATCAAAGAAATCAGATCAAAGTTATTCCTAAAAAATGCCAGAAAAAAATGCGTTTACTTTTTAACTTGTTATGAAGTAAATCATTGTATGTACCAACTATAATCTACATTTCACCTGGTATAAAAAAAAAAGTATGACTTTCCATTGATTAACTATGAGTTGCGTATTTGGTAATTGAACTTGGTAAAAAGCGTAAACACAATATATGACAAATAATTAACTTAAAATTGTTTTATTGTGTTCCACAGATTATATTTTTATGGTAAACACTGTATCGACTGCAGTTACAATGTTCTACTAGTAATACACAGAAGGGTGTTTTTTATTATCATACAATGGCTTAGTTTTACTTTCCTTATCATCCAAAGACTTCATACAAATGGCATGAAAAAAGTGTTGTGCATATTTTTCCAGTAGTTGGACATACTATGTTGCAAACAAATGAAGATTTCAGTTGAGTAAGGCAGTATGTGAGAGGTTGCATTCATTATTTATATTGATTGGAGGAATGGGAACTGATCTTGACTTGAGTGTATCCAAAAGGGGAGAAGGGGGCTAGTGTTACATTGAATCGTTCTTGGTCTTGCAAAGTGGAAGACCTAGACCAAGACCGTCTGACTGTTGCAAGATCAAGACTGATAAAAAAAAAAATCGTTTTTGCAAATAAAAATTAAGGCAAAATAGTTACTAATACTTGACAATTTTAGTTACTGTATGCAAATAATTGGTATAACCATGACTGGTAAAAAAAAAAAAAATCGTTTTTGCAAATAAAAATTAAGGCGAAATAGTTACTAATACTAGACAATTTTAGTTACTGTATGCAAAGAATCGGTATAACCAATATACTTTTGCTTATAACTCTTCTAATTTTTCATTCATGTTTAGTTAGATTTCCTCTACCTGAAAAATTACAGTAATGTGTTTATAGTAATTGGCTAATAGGTAACTTTAAGTCTGTTGCGAGACTCTTGCACAAGACCAAGACCTAGTCCAAGACTGAGTTTGCAAGATCAAGACTTGTCTTGGTCTCGCATTTGGGCTTTACTAAAGGGGGCAAGGTTTGTCAACTTCTCCTTTAAAAATAAATGTTTTGAATAATAATGCAGTAATCAATTTTTTAAAAATGAAATAAATAAACCATGAATGAATAAAGTGAAATAAATAAGCCACCTCTTCTAGGGGCTGGGTGGCTGAGCGTTACACAGCAATTTAATTAACTGAAGTTAATGTGGTGAAATAATTATGAGTTCGTGTCCCGGTGCCAGAGGGACTTTTAACTCTGGCATTAACCTCCCGCTCTCAATCCTGGTCCTGAAAAAAACCTCTATAGCCTAAAAGAAGAGGGTAAAAAAAAAAAACTCCTACTTAGCAGTTTTTATATCCACAGAAATATCTTTTGAGAAGTTGTTAATAAAAATCATAATTTTCAATAAACTTAAAACATTTGTGAATAAAAATGCTGTGATTTTCATTAAGCTAATTAAAGTATATTATCCTTACAACTTAACAATTGATTTCTCAAAAATATTTATCTTGTTAATTACCATATTTCATGATGAGTGCTTCAATTTTTTTTTATAAATAATTATGATTATTTAGTGTACCAAATGTTTTTACTTTATCTGACTATTATATAATGCATATTTGTTCAGAACTTCTTAAATTAAAATTTTCGTACCATTAAATATTTAATAAATAATCTTATTGATATATTTAGGATAGAAATAATTTGGACAAACCTGCGGATTTCATCAATTATTTACATTTGAATGACCTGAGTTTGAATAAACTGTACACATGTGTTGCATCTCTCAAAGTGTCACTAACCAACAATCCTGTTAGTTGGGTTCAGGAATTTGGAAGTGCTGGCCTGAAAGCAGTTCTTCATACTTTAAATCGATGTTATTCAAATAAGTAGGTACCAATTAAAAATATTCAATAATTAACCCTTTAATTCTGGCTCTTATATTTATTATTAAATTATTTATATGATATAAATAGTGAAACATATTGTTTACTAAACATTGTAGACTGGTCTTTTTTTTTTTTTGTCCTCTTTTGTTTTTCTCACCCAAGTTGTTAGTAACTTGAACTTGAAGTTGTCAGTTCCTTCATTGATACCTGAACAAAAGATGTTTTCAGAAAAATAATAGAGAGGAAGAATTACTTTACTTATTAAGTGCTGTGCTATTGTAAAGGGTTGCTGAATACACAGCATGCTCATCAATCCATATCGAATATAACATAAATACATTTTTTTTCCCTATCAAATGTTCATGTCATATGACCACACCATTATTATTACTAAATAATCTTTTTTCCTTTCGTTCTCTTTTATCCTTCAATGAAATCTTAAAAATCCCACAGACAATCTTTTCCAGTGAATTAAATATAATACTTAATATATTAACATATACTCGAAAATTAAAAAAAAAAAAACTACTCCAATGTTAAAAACACAAACATCAATATCAAGATAGGTTGAAAAACAAATTCTTCCCGTACACACACAGATTACATACACATTAATCTGATTTTTTTAATGGTCTCATACACTACTTGATTTAGTTAGTGCACAAGAAAGCTGAAATCACGTTCCTATGGTCCAGTGACAGCCATTTTGCCTCTTTATTATTATTAGTTGACATTACGACTCACTTAATTAGTCAAAGCCTGCGCTATCTTAGATTGCCATTTTCCTCTGTAGGAATTTGATATTCCCTCATAGGCCGTGGTACAGACCCCTTTTTATCAAATTATTAACATCCCCCTAAAACTTTGTAAATAGCTTCATCTCACCATAATCTACAAATATTTCATTTACAAAAATTCTTGGAATTGGGGTGTTTTCAATCTGGAAATCTCCAAACTTTGTCTATTTAATAAGTACTAAAAACTCATGAGTACCCAATGCTGTAAGGAAAGCAAATGCTTTCAACTAGGGCGGGGTGGCCGAATGGGCTAACACGTGTGCACTGCATCGCCGTTGCCCGGCAACCTGATACATAAGACTTTGATTAAAAAATAGTCACGAGTTTGCGTCCCGGTGCCCGGAGGAGTTTTTAAATCCCCGCCCACACTCCCTGGCCCGGGAAAACCCCTGTATAGCCTTAAAGGCGAGGAAGGGGAGGACAAAAAAAAAAAAAAAAAAAAAATGCTTTCGACTTGAATTCCAAAATAATATGAATATAAAAAAAAAAAAAGTTGCCTACAAAAATATGAGACTATTTGGTCTATATGACCTCGTTGTTTTGAGGGTGGAGGTCATGCCAAACTGACCAATATTTTTGTAAGGTATCTTTTTGTTCGACTTTGTGATAAAGATAATTTTTATAATTCAAGTGGAAAGCAAAAGGGTATTCATGAGTTTTTCATACCTAATTAAATAGACAAAGGTTGCTAATCTCCAGATTGAAAATGCCCTAATTTGGAGAATTTTTGTAAATAAAATATTTGTAGATTACGATGCGATGAAGATACCTCTGTAATTATTATATTTATATAAATCTCCTTTCTTACGAATAGGGCAGAACTGTTTTCTTCCATTAAGATGATAGCCTTTCTTACATATATCCCCTAAAAGTTTCTACAGAAATTTTATTTCCATTATGTTATAGCTGAGTTAATATATTATCAGTTTTTTAGTATCTTAATATTCTTTAGCTTCTCAGTAGTATTCATCAAAAGAAATATTCAGCATCTCTCTCTCCTCTCAAAGAACGATTGGATCCAAGATGTCTTGTTTTTCCTAATTTAGCAGATTTTTTAAGTAAGGAGCCCTGTATTGCATAGTAGCTGATCTGTGTTTCTTCAAAGGTTGCACGTCTTGCCTATTATTTTTGTGTCAAAAGCTTCAATAAATTTCACTTGGACTTTTTCTTTAAGTTTAGTTGTGTCAAATCTTCTTACAGAAGTAGTGTGTTGATTTCTTCACATGAATTATCTGGCCCAACTTTATTGTAATTGTAAGGTACTGATCCAAATCTATAATGTTTCCTCTGTAAAATATTATATTTATCAGCTATGGTTATTGATTTATGCCTGGTGCTAATAAGTCCATGGTCAACTTGTGAGGTTTTAACATTACCATTTACTTTAAATTTTCTCCATGTAGGCAAATGAATTCATAGCTTTAAAATTAATGACTCCTTCTTGAACTAATCTCATACCAGCAGCTCAACCTCCAAATGTATGAAGGTGGTCATCACAGGAATAGTAGCAGCTATAATATATATCGTATTAATTCCCTTCTCTATGGTTACTCTTTCTGTTCCACCTGATCTCATATTTCATAATTATCAAAACTGACTTTGAGTGCCAAGTCAGTTTAGGATCAAATTGTTCCATGAGGCATTCAAATAATCCAATCGACAGTTGCAGAGTCTGTTCCCATGGATAAATTTTTATGGGATGTTTTTCATTTTTTTGTTCCTTGCCTATATGGGTGTTTTCTCGGACCAGTGGGTAAACTCATACTTATTCTATCAATTTATATCATTGATAAGGTTGCCAGACAACGGCCGTGCTGTACATATGCGTTAGCTCGCTTGGCCTTTCCATTCCTATTTCTATTGGGCTTTGTTGAAGTTCATATTTTAAGTTGGTATTAAGTAAGGTCACCCGAGTCAAGTGGAGCATCTTTTGAGTATCCTGAAATGCTCTCTCATCCAGGGTGGCTACCTTGGATATGTAGCCCTATCGATAGTATTGTGATTGACCTTGGTCTGTAGTGTGCTGTAATCAGTTTGTTTGTGTCAAGATAATGTTCCTCCAACCTGAAGGACAAGCAGCTATCTGAGGTATCAAGATCAGGGAATAGGGCTGACTAGTGTATGTATTTGAGTCTCCATGAATATATGTTTTTAGTATCTCTGTGGACCTTATAGACTGGGAATAGGATATCCTGCAGGCAGAGGATAGCCACCTTCAGCCTGATCTCTGTAATTGCAATAATGATGTGTGATATATCCAAGTATTTTATGGTATGGATTAAGACATGCATATTGCTTCTTTTCTTTTGATTCTTCATTTGACTCCTTAGTTGTCTGTGGAAACATGGACTAACATGCGAAATATGTCATAAAGATGTTTATTCAAAGAACAGTATAAGAAAAAATAATTATACTTTATAATAATATATTGAATATGCCCAATATTCAGCAATGTAAAAATAAATATTTTATAGGGTTTTTTTAAGATTTTCTTTTCTTTTTTACCTAACATTTTGAAAAAAAAAAAAATTTAATTCATATGTATCAGCATGTGCTTGTATTCTGTGTATTTATAACTCTTATAACTGAAGTAATGACTAATATTTAATGTCATAATCACTTTTTTCTTATTACTCCTAACAAATTTTCAAAAAGTTTCTGTAATACTCTCATCTTGATATATTTTTTGTTTACAGTGATCGAAACCATGATCGCATTCAGTATGAATGTCTTAGGTGTATTAAAGCAATTATGAACAATACAGTTGGTTTAAAGGAAGTTTTCCAACAAAACGAAGCTCTGGTAATGGTTGCGAGATCACTTGAAGCAACTCGACCTCTCATCATGCTCGAAGCTGTAAAAATTCTAGCAGCGGTATGTCTGGTACCACCAGATGGTCATGGTAAAGTTCTTGAAGCAATCACGATCAATGGAGAGCTAAAAGAAATTGAGAGATTTTCCCCAATAGTTGCTGGCCTCCAAACTAAGAGCAATGATACTGTTCGAGTAAGATTTTGTTTTATTAGATTTTCATATTTTAACTATTTTATTGTACATTTTAATATGATCTATTTTTCCTTTTAGGTTGCATGCTTACAGCTTATAAATGCAATTATTTCGACTCCGGATGAAGTTGATTTTAAAATACATCTACGTAACGAAATGATGAGAGTTGGTCTATTTGATTTGTTGGATGTAAGTTTTGTTTAATTTTATTATCATTCATTTAATGATATTTTTAGATCCATCTGTTCTATAATATTTACTGTAGGTTTTAGAGAAAGATGCTAGTGAGGATTTGAATTTGACTCTACAATTAAAAGTTTTTAATGACCAAAAAGAAGATGATTTTTATGAATTTTCTCAGCGTTTTGACAACTTAAGGCTTGAATTTGATGATATCAATGAGTGTTTTGAAGTTCTTAAGAATTTTGTCATGGATACACCATCAGAACCCTATTTTCTATCAATACTTCAACATCTCCTATTTATAAGGGATGATAGTTTAATTAGGTATGTTTTTTTATTAATAGTCCGTTTACATACCATGATTTGTAGATCACTGATTTCAAAATTACTTTTTAGGCCTGCTTATTATAAGTTGATAGAAGAATGTGTTTCTCAAATAGTTCTGAACAAAGCCGGAACTGATCCTGATTTTAGGGGCAGAAACTTTCAAATAGATGTTCAAAATTTATTAGAAAACTTAGCAGGTGAAGATATATGCATTTTTTAATATAGTTGGTTAATACTTATTTTATTTGTAATAATAAAACTTCACATTTGATTCATCATTGTTACTTTATTTTTTTATTCACCAATGTTTGATCACTTTAGGCCATTTTCCAGGGGTTATTTTTTTTTTTTTTTTTTAAATTAGCTAAAATGTTTTTAATTGTAAAACAATTTTTTCCTCATTGAAAATGGCCTCAAGGACTAAAATGTTGGTTAATAGAAAAATATAGGAAGTCTTATTGATATAATGTGAAGTTTTACTATTAAAAATAGTTTTAAAAAATTGTATGAAAAGATTATTTTATTGTTTTTTAAATTTAGTGTAGTTCTTTTTAACTGACCTCACTTAATCCGATTTCCATAAACAGCTATAAAAAATAATAAGAAATTAAATATAATTTACTATTTAAAACAAAATATGTTTAATTGCTTCGTTATTTGTCTAAGAAATAATTATCAAGATCAAAATACCAGGTGGCAGGGAGCAAATGACCGCTTTGTGAAAGGTGTAGTTAGCGATGAGTAGGTGTGAGAAGGTCGTTCTACCACTCCTTTAGCCTAAGTTGAGAAGTTTAGTTGCCATGGTCCATTATAGTGCTCAACATTGTTCGCTTGTCGTGGAAGTTTTTTTTATAATAATCAGTATTTTGCTGCCGCAAGAGGCCTTCCTCGTGGACACATTTAAACCTTGCTTCAAGTACAACTCTCCCCAACACCTCCTCAATATCTCAGTGGGTTGAACATTCACATCATGACTAATGTTTTCCATGCTTTTCCCATGTTCCAACTGTGGTAACATACAAGAATATGGAATGTGTCTGTTGAGGAAAGCCTACCACGTTTAACAAAACACCACACCCAAGCACTTATAATTTCGTGTTAGATTGTTCAAACCATTTAAAATTCTATGCCTAAAAGACAATTGTCATCCAGAAGCCCCTTCCAACTGATAACATTAAATGTCTGCAATTCAGTGAGCACATGCTGGATATTTTCAGTGGTCATCACATAAAGCATATTTCACTTCCATGGCTATGTGAACAAGAAAAATTCCCAATATCCAGCTACTGACAACCCAAGAGAATGGCACGAGCAGCCTCTTCATAGCCAAAAAGTTACTATGTGATGTACTTTGTCTTAGGATAATTGAAACTTATTTTTTTATGCTGAGAGAGGACAGATGTAGACAGTGAATTTAGAGGGATACGTAGCTATGCTTTGTGAATTTTTTATTTCCTACTTGGTGGAAAATGACTGGGACACGAAAAATATCTAGTTTCAACAGGACAGAGCCTCTACTCATACCGCAAAAGTTCTAATGAATCTTCTGTGTAAAACATTTCCAGGACCCCTGATTTCCTTAGTGATATTCCGTGGTCATCCTGCTCATCCGACCTCGCCCCTGGAATTTTTTCTTGCAGGGAGGTATCTAAAGTCTAAAAGTATAGGTTTACAAACCGCAAACTATTTCACATTTAGAAGAAACTATATAACCTGAAATTACAACAATTCCGATTGAAATGTTGGAGGAACTTTAATGACGGTATGCACAAATGTCACTTTAGAAGAACTGCATTTATTCAACATTTTTTTTCATGATTAATTTTTCTTTTTTATTACCACCAAATCTCTGTTAATTAGCTACTAATTGTGATTATATCATCCTATAACTCAAAAATAAAATGTAGGACATCTTTTTCAAATGCGATCAGTTAAGTTCCCACTGTTTTATCACTAAGCATCATTTTGCAAGTATTGCAATATTATATTGTAATGATGGGAGGATATTAATGTAAAAGATTTGAGGATCAAAAATAATTTTTTTTCTTTTCCAGTTAGGAAAAATAAAAGACCCATTGACTAATTACATAAATAGAACCATTATTATTCAGTTTTATATTAAATTGTTTGCTACCAGTGTTTCAGCTGACATTCCCTTGCAAGCTAAATTAGTTATTAGATAAAATATATGAAAAAGTTACCCTCTTTGTTAATGGGACAAAAAGTACAATTAAGTACCTTGATTTATTTTTTGTTTTTTAAATTAAAGTCTATTACATTCTATATTTTAAAAGTAAATGAGCTGAATATTAATGGTTATTTGAAATGGACAGATGTTACTTTTTGGCAGAATTATAATTTTTATAAGCAAATGGCTGTCTTATTTCTTCTCTGATATGTTAACTATGGAGAATTTGAATATATGAGAAAATAAACATTTCTTTTATATTCCATTATATTTGTTATATTAAATTTTAATTTTAAAAACGAACAAAAATATTTACCATCACTTATTTCCATTCAAGAAAAATCAAAAAATGAAGACGAAGAAAGAATAAAGGGCCTCTTAAGACAGATTGAAGAACTCTCCGCCAAACAGCAAGAAAAGGAAGCAGAGCTTGCTCTTGCTAAAAAAACTATTCAGGAGTATCAGACCAGTGGAGTAGTAAAGGTATCTTTTTTATTATTATTACTTGTTTTCTGTAGACTTTCCACTTCTATGGATAATGGATAATGTCTCCCTTATGGTCTCTTGGTCTCTGGTCAACTATTGTGGTATTCCTGGAGAGACTTCCTGAATAGATTCCTTCTAACTATATTTCCGGCCCATCTTAACCTCCTCATCTTCGTATCATGTGAAATAGACTGACCAGTTCTTGATAATAGTTCCTTATTGGTCTTTCTTCTTCATATGCTATTACTGTGATCCCAGATTGCTTCGGTTATTGTGCAGAGAACTTTGCTCTTAATTCTTTTTATCAGGGTGTTGGTACTCTTGAAGGAGAGAAAAAAGCTGTATTTGTGCTTGTTTAACACTGGTCTGTAGTTGCTCTTTTATTGAGGTTACTGTGGAGCAGTGGTATTTGAATCTATTTACTTCCATGAATGATTTTACTATCTACACAATTCCTGTGATTGAATGAAATATGAATTTCTCAGTTTGCTATCATATACATATTTTTTTAATGTATATTTATAAAACAGATCACTCTTCAAATACTAATCATCTTTAGACTTTTGCAATCCAACTTTCAATTAATAGGCTTGACGTCTCAGCAGTGCACAATTCGCAATGGCTAATGGAAATTTTAATGATAGAAGTGAAATTACAAATCTTCAATTATAACTTTACTGAAATTTTAAAAAGTTTTCTTTCCAATTAATTTATCCAATTTTTGTATCTTCTTTTATTTTTTATATTCACTTACCTATAAGGTCATGTTTGAACTTTTCAATTTCTTTAGTAATTATTTGTTATTGCAGGTTAATGGTAGCAGCGGAAAAGCACCACCTCCACCTCCAATGCCTGGTTCTGGCATTCCTCCCCCTCCACCTATGGGCGGTGGTCCACCCCCTCCACCTATGCCTGGCAACATGGGTCCACCTCCTCCTCCACCACCACCTGGCTTTTCTGGTAAATTATTTGATTAATCAGATCATTATTTAATTATCTAAGCTAAAATCGGGTATATATATATATGAACTAGAGAATTCAGTAAGGGGGTCTCCAAGTAAACTACCAAAACAAAAATCTTGATTGACGCTCTACAGCAGGAGTCCCCAATATTTTCTGGTTAAATTGTCAAAGAAATGTATGTAAGGTGCTAATAAATTAGCATTTCGCTGAAACCTATCTATGGGTGAATGGAAGACATAATTAGTACAATAAAAATTTCTGGAAAAACTGAGAGTGACGAAGATGAATAGGAGCTAGAAAATTAATTTTACTAAGGAGGATAGAAGAATCAATATTTCCATTTATTAATTTAAAGAGGAAAATAATATATTTTTTGGTGCACCTATGTGCTAGAGAATCAATATTTATATTCATATTTCGAAAATGTTTATAATTTCGATAAAAATATCGACTATCGATATTTCAAATCTGATATTTTGATGGTATTGATAATTATAGGCCGATATTATTATTGATATCGGGCCTTGATATCCCATCTCTATTACAGAGGAAACTATTTAATCCTTGATATACTACCAATTTGGATAAAACTTATGTGATATTATTTGTTATAAGGAATTTAGTCAAAACCATTAAAACTGTTATTGAGAAAATTCTAGTAATATGTAAAATCGGTTTTGTAAAGTGACACTTATGATTAGCCAATTTTAATGATACATACCTTAAATATATAATTTAATCTTTTTGTGGGACTTGGTTATTTAGAATCTATAATTTCCAATACCAAATATTTCATAAATAGTTGAGCAAAAAACCAAGGAATATTTTTGCGCTTTGGTCTCAACAGAAAAGAAGACAAGGTGGTTCATGTCCAGTTGTCTGCGATATAGCCATTTGGAATATAGGAATGTTAAAAAAAAAAAAATCATAATTGTTCCACGATTACTCCCTTATCTGATGCTCTGGTTATAAAGAGTGAGAAAAGTGAGTAACTGATTTTTTATCTATAAATTTTTTTTTTTTACAAACAACAATATTGTCCCCTTCAAGGTAGTTCCCTTCGCCAACTATTCACTGGCAGATTTGTTTACAGCCTTGGTAACAATTTTGAAAGATTTAACTGGTTGGAGCTAATATGTTAAGTCTCATTCCATTCTTTTGAATGTTCTCCAGAGTCTCAAAGTGACGTCCGTTATAAGGTATTTTTCAATTTTGGGAAAAGAAAAAAGTCACAAGGACTCAGATCAGGTGAATAGAGAGTTGAAGAGCAACAGGAATACCTTTTGAGGTCAAAAATTCTATGATGGGAATGACCTTGTGACATGAAGCATTGTCATGAAGTATCCACTTGTCAGCAATGTCTGGTCTCACATAAATCATCCTTATTGTTAAACAACGGTCTGATATCACAAGAGCTCTTACACATTCAACATTTTTGTCAGTTTTTTGAAGTTGAAAATCACACTTTCAAACATAAAGTATTGATGTTTGATCAACTGAATATTTGGGTAAACATACTAGATTTAATTCAGATAGACTTAAATTAAACTATAAAATAACAATAATTTATATATATATATATATATTACAGAAATAGATGAAGACTGAGAATAACAAACAAATTATTACCAAATATTAAAATTAAGTAAAAACTTTGTTTAATAAATATAAGGTGAGAAAAAATGCCTCAAAATGAAAAGGATAATTGAAAATAAGAATGAAGAATATTCACACTTTAATTATAAAAGTTATTGTTATATTAATCTTCATTAAATATTCATGTCCAGGACCACCACCTCCTCCCCCGCCTCCTGGAATGGGACCTCCTATGCCTCCTCCGTTGGGTATGACACCTTTAGCAAAGCCACCTGAAGTCCTGCCTCATGGGCTCAAGCCAAAGAAAAAGTGGAATGTAGAAGGAATTAAAAGAGCCAACTGGAAAACTGTGAGTATGATTTGATTTGTCTATTCGTTCAGTTATTTATAAATTGGTATAAGGTAAATAATGTAAAGTGCTTTTTTTTATTCTAGATATTACCCCAAAAATTAAGTGAAAAGTCATTTTGGGTCAAAGTTCAAGAAGAACAGCTTGCTTCACCGGATATACTTGACGGTTTGGCTGTTAAATTTTCATCTAAGCCACCTCAAAAAAAGAATGAAGATGTTGTGGATAGGTAACATTTTTAAGATCTGTAGTATAAATTGTATTTATCCTAAATATTTTACTGAGGTGAGAATGATACAAAATGAAAATCTATTTCTTGATGTTAAAAGGTTAAATTTAGAGTTAGTGTACAAGAAAGTAGGAAATGGTTTTATTATATCATTATACTACAGCCTCTAGACTAATCCCTTAATTTTTAGTCATACAGTGAATTGTCTACTTTTGCTCTTTTCGATTACGATGAGTTCTTGAATTTGTATTTCTTTAATAACTGTTCAAAGAACATAGTAATTAAATTAACAAATAAAACAGAAACTAATCCATAATACTGTTATTAACCATTGTTGTTGCTATAGTTGCAGATACTATAGGATCTGATAATGGCTTGATATGTTAATTCTTTTTCAAGCTGTGCATTAAAGTCTCTGACAACTATGCCTTGAACTTGAACCTTGAATAAGTTCTTGCTATTTATTTGTGAAAATTAATGCTTTATTTAAAGTGATAAGAAACATGTCACTCAAAGTATTGTCCATCACTGGCCACTACTTTTATGGCAGCATATGAATTCCATATAGAGATTGGATACCAAAGGCTCAGTATTGATATTAATATTGGCCTATAATTATCGGTACCATCAAAATATCAGACTTGAAATATTGATAGTCGATATTTTAAACATTTTTGAAATATGAATATCAATATAAATATTGATTCTCTAGCTCATTGGTGCATCAAAAAAAGATGTTATTTTCCTTTTTAAATCAATTAATCGAAATATAAAGTCTTCTACCCTCCTTAATAAAATTAATTTTCTAGTTCCTCTCCATCTTTCTCATCCTCATCTTTTTTCCAGAAATTTCCATTTAACCCAGCAACTATTAATTATATGCAATTCAGATTAATTACACTTTAGTTTATAAAATAGGTATTGAAATGACTCATTTCCGGGAAAGTATATACAAATTAACTTACCTCTAAGAATCAGTAAATATACAAAACAAAATGTTAAATTGCAAATATTAAATTAAAAATGCAAGATATTTAGCGAAGTATTTTTTAATTAAGTTTGATTATTATAATTATATCATTTTTACAATCGAAGCATTCTTAAACTATATCCGTAGAATAAAAGTTGTAATATTAAAAAAAAAAATTAAAAAATCGTTTAATTTTTTTGACTACTAAATTATTCCATTAATATTTGTTTGTTAAAACAATCGATATGATGTACCAAAAAAGTTATAGCACTATAACTATGCCATTTATGAATACTGAATGATGTGGCACCTACGCCAGTACCACTTTTCTGCTGATTAAGTGCATTTTCTACAAAACCACTTCAAATATTTTAAAAAGTTATCAGTGTTTTAGAAAGATAAATATATTCTCCAGATGTTTTATTTCAGAACGTTTTCTGTTATTTTTGGGTGTTTAATTACCAATGACGCTTGATTTTTAACTATTCAACAAAAATTTTTTGTTGAAAAAATTGACTTTCTGATGTTTTTTATTTCCTAAACCAATTATTTTTTAATATTATGTCATGTTTTATTATTCTCTGTTTATTTAGCTTTAATAAAAAGCCAATTATACTAAATGCTGATTCTCAGTGACCAAAAATACTAACTTAAGTCCAAGTCACCAGTCCGCCATCTTTGGACGCCATTTTGGGGCACTTTCTTCACTTTTTTTCGTGAATAGTTACAAGAAACACAACAATGTGTAATGTATAGGGATGTGGGAGGTGCACGGTAGGGGATTCTGGCCCACCGTGTACATTAATAACCTTTGGTAGTTAGGAATCGAAATTAAAAGTAATCTAAATAAATAGAAATGAGATAAGTAAGGAACTTCTTAGGATTTACTTAAAATTTAAATGAATAGCTATGTATAATATATTATATTTTATTTCTTCTTTTAGATCTGGCACTTTAAAAAAAGTCAAATTGCTCCGAGTCTTGGACAGCAAAGCCGCACAAAATCTTTCCATATTATTAGGTGGGTGCTTGAAGCACTTAACCTATGCTGATGTAAAACGATATATTTTGAATTGCGATACTACTGTTTTGACTGAAAATATTCTTGAGAGTTTGATTGCTTATCTGCCTCCACCAGAACAGCTCAAGAGACTTACAGAGCTTAAAGTTGACTACAATGAATTAACTGAAGCTGAACAGTTCGCTTTGACCGTAAGTTGTGTTTTCATTTTTTATAATTATATATTAATTGATTCATAACATCTCAATCCGCTATCCCCTCCATATTCTCATTAAAATAAGATATTTTCTCTTTTGTATTGTATTACTAAGTCTGCTGTATATATTAAGTTTAACTTAGAGTAGCTGAAGAAAAATATGCATCAGCCTAGTAAAGAAAAAAAAATATGCAGTTTGAAGTAAGACCATCAGTAATATTATATTCTTCAAAAGAAAAAAGTATATATTCAGACTAAGAAAAATCTCGTGTGTCCGCTCACACGACTTTCCTACCTATTTCAGAAGTTTTTATATCTTTACTGTCCATCAAGAAACAAAAACAAATTGAATTAGATTTATTTTCCTGAAAATTGATCAAAGAAAAGATTTGAGTATAATTTATTCGATAAACTAAAGCAATATAAACCAGTTTAAGGTAGATCAGTATAAAAATTTCAATACCCTCTAATATTGCTGTTTCTGTTAAAAGTAGAAGAAATAGTGAAGCTTGTCTGATGCGGGCAACAGATTTTCTTACTTTCACTTAGTTATCTTTTTTCTCTCATTCACCTCTTTCTGGCACCAAGATATGAACCCGTAATCTTACATTGGAAATTGAATAGCTGTAACTTCCTTAATAGTTGTCCGAAATTAACGATTTTTATACAGTTTTGTAGGGGATGTCATTACCTTTCGAAAAAGCAGGTCTAATCTAGTTTGGCTAATGTCAGGATATGTGTAAATTTGAAAAATAGTTTCACTAGTTCAGGGAAAAGAAAATGGCTGCTCTGTAGTTTCCCCAAAAAAGAAAATCCCAAAGAGGAGAGGAACTAAGGATTTTTGTTTTGGAGTCATTTGTTGTTTGGCTGGGTTCATTAGTTGTTAGGGATCTTCCAAGAGACAAGAGAGAGGATCTTCCAGGGAGCTTGAGTTGAGGAGATGAAGTGTCACCATTTTGGAAGGTTTGTTTGGCAAAACTTTGGAAAGTGTTTGAAGATAAATGAATTCAGTGCCACAAAGGAAGAAACATTGTATGTATGAAAAAGGTTAGCTTGCCAATTCATACTTGACTTTATTTTAAAGTCAAACTGTATTTGGTGTTAATAATTTTAGTCTGTCTGAGTTTTTTTATCTGATTGTCAGTATTATTGTGATTGTCCCATACATGGGATAAAATAATTATAAAGTTCAGTTAAAATATTCTTATAATTTTGTTTTCTATTTGACAACCTCTTATTTCTTTTGGAAGTATCGCTACAGTATGAAGTTAACTTCTGGAGCTGTATTACTAGTTTAATATATAGGAGATATTACCATATTCCCATGACAATTTTTGGCTTGTTTTTGTTATACCGCCTGGAATATTCTTGTATACCAACAATGATAACTATACAAGAATTTGGGAGCCCTTGGTTTAGAAGATAATTTACGAGCATTGACTTCAATTAGATATAGGCAGTATGGGATGCTATTGGCATTAAAACTAGAAAGAATCATCAAAGAGAAGGCTTAATATAATATACACAGATATGTCTCTTTGTGTAAGATTGATGCTATTTTGAAGTTCTCTTAAATTATACCTTAACTGTCTTAAAAATTGTATTTGTTTACTTTAAGATAATTATTAATTATGTTTTATATTTTCAGCTTGCAGAAATTAAAAGGTTGCTTCCTAAGCTGAAATCAATGAAGTTCAGAATACACCACCCAGAAATGGTGCAGGATATCAAACCAGTAATATATTATTTTTTATATTAAAGTTTATTGCTCATTTAAAAATATTTTCTCAAATAAAGGTTGTTTTTTTTTTTTTTTTTTAAAGGATATTGTTGCTGGTACAACTGCTTGTGAAGAAATAAAGAAAAGTAAAAAATTTGCTAAAATATTAGAATTGATATTGTTAATGGGTAATTACATGAACAGTGGATCAAGAAATGGACAGGCGTATGCTTTTGAAATGAATTTCTTACCTAAGGTATAAAGTGGTTTTACATTATTATTTTAAATAATACTTTTTTCCTTTCACTTACGGATATGTGAAATATATAGTAAGGGAAAGTATTGGGATTATGAAAAATTTTGAATCCGAATTTTCAACAGAAATAAACGTTTTGAGATCCCCTGATTTCAAATAACCAACCTGCACTGGTTTCCCACCCTCCACGGGAGTACTGAAGTGGCTGTATGCCGCTTAATTTTATTAGGCTACTTATTCATATCACACACATACCACTTTATATGAAACTGTACTTATCACTCGTAAGGCACTCTGATGGTTGACAGAGACTATTAGTCTTCTATAAGCCATAGTATTGAGGGCCCCTTTCCAAATAATGTAGGGTAGTTTAGAAGTAACCATGCTTCATAGCAACAACCTATGGCTATGGTCACTCTAGATGCCTTATTGCTCACTTGTTGAATATGCTCCTTGAACTTGAGCCTTTCATCGATTCTCACTCTAAGGTATGTCAAGGAAGGCTTGGACCTTATCTCTTGCCTGGCAACAGTCAAGGCGATCACTCTCTTTTTTCTACTACTGATTGAAAGGGTTTCTGTCTTATGATCCGGGAGCTGCAGTCCCACGGATTCCAACCAATTGGAGTGTTTATTCCCTCTTCTGAGTAGATCCTCTAACTGAAACCGTGGGTACTGCCGGCGATCTGATAAAAAACAAGGTTCCTTCATCACCATGATTGAAAGAGATGCTAGGTCCCTCCTCCTGTCACAGTTCACCTACGTAATCATCTGCAGGGATTTTGACCCCACCTCAGACTAAGTTGCTAGGCTTATTGAGTTTTACCACTTGTAGAGAAGAATGTAGTAAGATTTGAGAAGGAGACCCTAGGTAGCTGCTGGTGACCATAAGTTAGGCTTCACTTCTATTTTGAGTACTAAAATGCTAGGTATTATTATTCATAAATCTGTTGGTATCATTTAGTATATATATATATATATATATATATATATATATATAACATCACTCAATAAGTCTCTGGTCTAACTAAGAAAAAGCAAATTTCTTTTTAGAAATGTAATGCTTTTCAAGATAGATAATAAACAAAATTCCATGTGCGTCCCAAAATACAGATGCCATAATCTTTGCCAGCCGACTTTTTAGTTTTTGATTGCTTTGGACAATTTTCACCGGCTGCTGTCCACTCAGTTGATGATCTTGATTCAGGCGTGTAATGGATCCATGTTTCATCTATTGTCATATACAGATGCAAAAAATCCTTTTTATTTTGCTTGAACGGCTCCATACAGCGCTCTGAATCGTCGATGTGTTGTTGTTTTTTTGGTCCAGTGTGAGCATATGCGGCACCCACTTCGAAACAAACTTGCACATACCCAATTTTTCATGTAAAATTGTAAAGACGCTACCTTCTAATATCATCAAGGTTTCAGCTGTCTCACACTTCATTTTACAGTCTTTTAAAAATATTTTGCAGACATTTTTTATGTTTTTTGGAACAACAGCTGATTATGAACACCGGTGATTGCACGACCGTATTTAAATTCAGCATACCAGTCAATAATAGTTGATTTCGCTGTTGCATAGTCTCCATAATGCTTGTCAAGCAACTGTTTGGCTTCAACAGTATTTTCCTCCATCAAACAATATTAAATCAACACACGAAATTCCTTTCTATGCATCGTCTTGAAAATTATAAAATTGGGGTCACTAAAACGACAAGCTCTAAACTAACGGTCAGAATGCCATTAAATTTTGACACGTACTGTTTGAAGGTTAGTGCTACCCAGAAATCATGTGGGTCTGTCAAGAATATTGCCCGCTACCGTGTCAGACCGGGGAGTTATTAAGTGGTGGTTATATACCAGTGCCTGAACAAATAAAAATATTTACAATGAAATATGAATAGATATTGTAGCCTTCTTTATCAGTGGCACTCCTGTCAGATCATAAATGTTTTGTGGCACTTAATTGTTTATTATAATTAAATTGCTACTAAAGGAAGTGGTTAGTGACTAAAAAGTATAAATATAATATGTACATAAATATAACAATCTTACATTAGACAGCTGTGAAACAAATTTGGTTATTAATTGTTTCAAATAATTTTTTTTCTGCTAAAAGAAGGTTGTTAAGTGAGAGTTTTTCTATTTGGAGAAGACTAAGTGATTTATTTTTTTCTCTTACATTACTTTTGTCTATTTGTTCTAATAGCTCCTCAGTGATCCTATTCTTGGCCTAATTTTTAAAATAATCATTATGGATCAAGGAAATCAAATTAGGCCCACTCTATCTAACCAAAAAGATAAATTATTTAGACTGATCAGCTGATATACTATTTAATCGACAGCAAACACTTGACTGAGCATAATCTCAAGAGATCCTTTCTTTTCTCGTTGGTTATGAGAGATATTAAGTTGTTGATCAGTTATTGCTGAATATCTTTTATTACAATTTCAATTTTTTTTTTCTTGAAAACTATTGTTTTATTTTTTAAAAAATTGTCAAGTTTCTGTAAAAATAAATATCTTCCACTATAAAATAAGTCATGTATTAACATTTTTTGTAGTTTTATTTTATGTGAACTGGATAATGATTTATGTTCATCCTATGTTTTCTTTAGCTGTCGGCCACTAAAGATTTGGAAAATAAAATGACACTTATGCACTATTTAGTCGATACGATTGAAAGGAAATTTCCTGAGCTGTTGACATTTGGAGATGAATTGATGCACGTTGATAGAGCAGCAAGAGTGTCAGTAGATTCTATCCAAAAATCTCTGAGAATAATGGAGAATAACCTCAAAAACCTGGAAACAGATCTCGCAAACAACCGAGTACCCCAGAATGAGGATGATAAGTTTGCTGAAATCATGGGTGTATCCTTTCTATTAACATTTATTAAATATAGTCATTTCAAAAGAACCTGAGAAAGAAAGTAGTCATTATAATTTAGTTCATGTTGATCATAAAAATTTGGTTGTTTCATTCATTAAATGCTATTTTCAAATCTCTATTAGCTCCTATCATCTCTTCTCTGTCCGCTCTTTACTATTCTTTTTCTTCTCATTATTTATTTCTTCTTTTTTACTGAAGTTTTATGATTTACGATTTCATCTTTAGGTTTTTTTTTTATCATAAATATATCATAATGAAGAGAAGAATAGTTGGGGTGGTCAGTCAAAAAGGAAGGCAAAAATAAATGATAATATTTATTTTTACATATGCCAACGTTTCGACCTGAAGTTCAGGCCTTCATCAGGGCTGTCTCCTTAAGTGTTGCAAGGAGAAGGGGACACTCAAGGAGACAGCCCTGATGAAGGCCTGAACTTCAGGTCGAAACGTCGGCATATGTAAAAATAAATATTATCATTTATTTTTGCCTTCCTTTTTGACTGACCACCCCAACTATTCTTCTCTTCATTATCCACGACAGTCAACCAATTACCAATTATAAATATATCATAATTATAGTATATTTGTTTGAAAAGTTCTATTCTTGACTAGTATTAATAAAATCAAGAGACGGGAATAATTTATTATTTGTCAAAATAAAATTGTTATCTTAATTCATCACATTAGTAATTGATGTATATTAGTCAGGAATATGTAAGGTTCTTTGTATGTAAATTGTGTAAAAGTATGGAAAGTTGTCATTAGTTCTAAACTTTAATATCTAACTTTAACTTATAAAAGTAAAGGATTGCTAATATTGACAGATAAAAGAATAAAAAATACTTTTTTTAAAGAAGATTTAGTTAATCAGAAATGGATACACTGTGCTGTTTAGCTATTTCAGTTGAATAGAATAATCTTTGTCCCGGCCAATAATTTTTTTCTCTTCATATTTTAGATTAATTAGTGGTGGATATAATTATATTTCGGGAGTATTACTCCTGTCATCTCTTCTCCATCTGCTCTTTCCTTTTTTTTTCTCCACATTATTTATTCCTTCTCTTTTATTGTAGTTTTATGATTTAAGATTTGATCTTTAAATTCGTCCCTTAGGATGAAAAGGGTTATTTATCTAGCCACGGTTGTTTTTGTTTTTTATTATAATTTTAGTATATATTTTTAAAGAAATTCGTTCGAAAAGTTCTATTCTTCATTAGTATTAATAAAATCATAAAACATTTGATAAGATAGAATAATCTTTGTCCCGGCCAGCAAATTTTTTTCTTTATATTTCAGGTTTAGGTCATTTTAATTTTATTTCTGATGCATTGTTTTTGTCTCAACATTACCATTCGCCATTTCGCTGGGATGACTTTTTTTAGTTCCGACATAAATCACAGATCACTTATTGAATTGGCAGCCGATTAGAAGTTTCATATGTCCATATCCCAGCCATTCATGAAGATAAAGGAGAATTATACAATATTCTGGAATCATTATGCCAAAATCTTCCAAAAAAAAAAAACAATTTCCACCCAAATAATTTTATTATTATTTTTTCATATTACAGAAACTCTTCCATGGGTATATATTACATGTACCATCTTACAATAAAACTTTATATGTATACATATATATTGAAATCATTATATGTTGTTCAATAATTTACAGCATTTTTATTCAAAAATTCATAATATGTGTTTTTCTTTCAATTAATTTTTTATTTTAGTTTATGATTAAACTTACATGAACTCTAGAATTAAACGAAAAAACTCTAGAATAAGTTTTGGAGATAAGTTGAAAATTTCAATTACTTGAATTGGTCTAAACTGGTACTCATTAATATCTTACTGCTGTGATGGGTTCTTGGTATGTTTGCTGAAAAATATACAGACTGATGTTTTACTTATTCTATAATAATTTCCTTAATATATCCTCCAGGAATTTGCAAAACAAGCAAAAAAAGAATGTGCTGTTTTAAACAGTATGTTTAGCAAACTGGAGACTCTTTATTCAGATATTGCCGAGTACTACTCCTTTGAAAAGCAGAAATACACCTTAGAAGAATTCTTTTCAGATCTGAAAGGATTCATGGATGGATTTTATGTAAGTGTTGATTTTTTATACACAACTTTTTAAAATTAATTTGTTAAATTTTGCTTCTTTTTTTTTCCATTGAAAATTGAAAGAAGTTTTAGGATAGAAAGCTTTATTATTTCATTATGAAGCTTCTCTTTTAAGAAATAAATTAGGTTTATATAAAAGATCCATTTTGATCATTGTGTTCGCTGTCTGTAGAGGAAAAAAAAGGTGACCAAATTAACAAAAAAAAAAAAAAAAAAACCAGCACTTATTTATAATTTTAAAATTTGTAAGGCATTTTAAGTAATTGACCATTCATTTCGCTCCCTCCTATATTATTTTGAAGAACAAATATAAAATAGAAATCAATAACAATTAATCTACATAAATAAATAAGATATGTAAACTAAAACCAATTAAGAAGAGAGGAACTGAGCTAGAAGTTGACTAGGTGGCTAATCTAAGACCTAGAAGCAGGCACACAAGTATTTTAGCACACCCTATGTTACTGTTACAGAAATTTTTGTTTATCTTCAAAGGTAACTAATTATGTTTACCAACATATTCTAGGATTTTAAGATTCATTAATGTGCACCCTTCCATTTTTATGTGATGATTTTATCACGTTTTCTACTGCAAATTTAAGCATTGGAGAATTAAGAATTCATCTTATTGCCTCGAACCTTTAATTTAAAATATGTAATATATTCAATGGCTTTGTGTGTATGTGCTTGAAAAATATTGTAATACACATAATGGCTTATAGAGTAAATTTATAAGTTTCCAATGTTCTTAATATGAAAGATTTTTTTTTAACTAATGAATAATGACTTTTAGCAAGCTCACAAGGAAAATGTTATGTCTCGCGAAGCTGAAGAAAAAGCTAGACGAGCTAAAGAAGCAAGAGAAAAAGCTGAATTGGAAAAAGCAGAGAGAGCTGCTCGGAAAAGGGCGTTGGTGGATATGAGTGCAACTCAGACTCAGGAAGGTGTAATGGACAGCCTCCTAGAAGCTCTCCAAACGGGATCTGCATTTTCCAGAGATCAGAAGCGAAAAAGAGGTGGTCCACGTCCGGTTGGAGGTAAGTTTTGTTATTGCTGTTTCGCATTGTATTTTTAAAAAAGAAAATTATAATTTTTTGGACTATCCTCAAAAGATCTTTGTATATTTTTGAAGCTCAATTATTTTGGAATAGAAGAGATAAAACAGTTCCACCAAGTTACTCATATTTAAGGAGATTTTTAAATAATAGCTTCACTCTCATATGTTTCAAACCTCTTTTTCTTTATAAATGAGAATCAGTTTTATTCGAAGATTATAAATTCTTTGGGAACATTGATTCTTATAAATTCCTTAAGTTTTTTTTCCTCTCAGATTGAAGTACTTCCATACTGTTTTCAAAATTTCATTTATCAAAGTTAAGTTAAGAGATAAATTTCCTAATAAGTTCCTAGGTTAAGAATCCAATGAGTAAAACAATTATTTCCTCCTTGTGAAAGTCATGCCAGTGATGTGTTTTGTGCCCATATTTTCATTTATTTAGAGAAAATATGTAACATTTATTTGTTTGTGACAGAGGTGGTTCTGAGAACTGTGTTTTGTCTTCTTGAAAATACATTTATTTTAAATTACAAATCTAGTCAAGTAGAGGGTTATCTCACTTTAATATTTTTATTTCTATGAACAGATGAATTTTACTCACATAATGTTTTTCTTATTTACATAATTATATCACTTTATAGCAGTAAATAGTTTTTTTAGCCCTCTGGTCATGAGATAAAATAACTTAAGTCATTCATAAGTATCTCTTAATCATTCATGAGTATGTCTGATTTTTACATACACGTGTACAAAACATTACTTCAACTTTATATCAGTCCTATGAACAAGGGTAGGTAAAATATGGGATTATTGATTTTAACGAAACTTCTTTGGTTTATACTAGGTCAAAAAATATTAGATACATGTACAGTTTTAAATAGAGAGGGCTTTGCTTTGCATGATATATCTGTTGAGACCAGGGGTATTTCAAAATGAAACACAAATCTTTCCCCAGTGAGCATCCTCAAAGGTGAAGAAATTATGAGTAAAATTAAACGATGGGAAAGAAGGAAAAAAAATTATGTGAAAAAATGCATGCACATCAAAAAATATTAAATAAATCTAAATGGAAAATAAATAATCTCCCTTTTTAAATGTTTACAATATTTATTATATTTAATAAAAAAAAATATATGTACAAAAGTTAAAATAAACAATGTTATAAAAGTTCTGAGTTAAAATAAAACATAAATATAATCCAATGAGAAAATAAAAATTGTCCATCCAACTGTCTGAGTATTACTGCCGGGTTGGAGCGTATACAAATGCGATAAACATCACAAATAAGGCCTAATATTTAAATAATATACATTAAATTAGATTTCTGGAACAATTATCCTTCAAGCTTTTACAAATAAAAAATAAATAGACAATCATTCAATGAATATTCAAAAAGGATGACAGAGAGAAAAATAAATAAAATATAAAGCGTTGATTCGTGTGTTAACAATATCTATATAAATAAAATAAAAGTTTTGTCTGTACATTGAATAGAATCGACCCCGTTTCATGATATCTTTCTATTTCATACATTACAGACACCTAATACACTTTTAAAATTTTTTTTGTCTGTATGCCCGCATTGTCCAACAAAATTTTATCGGGGTTAAGCTTAGCAATGGCTAATGGTAGACTTTTGAAATGTTGACATTATATTTAGGTTTGCTTGACTTAAAACATAGGCTTTAAATGAAAACAAAATATTGAGTAGAACCAAAGTTATGAATTCTTGAGTAATTTGTCTAGAGATTCAGGCTTAGCAGTTATTTTAATTCTCATCCCAACCTACTCTACTGCGAGCCACATTTAAAAGTTGTACTATTCAACTGATCAATTATAATAGCAAAACTTTTTTTTTTTAAATTATAATAAGATAACAAAAAAATTAAAGTTTTTCAGTTATAATAACAAAACTAATTCTTTTTTTTTTCTTAATCCCAATAGTATAATACTTGGAACAAGTTATTTTACAACAAGCTAATGTTGTTGACGGGTGTATAGATAAAATTTGAGAATCTTTTTTTGAGATGGATTTTGTAGTATGGGGAGATCCAAATTTAATTTCATAGGGAAGAGGTACTGCTGAATACTTTCCTTCCCCATGCCTGTCATGTCATTATATCATTATCGCCATCACATTTGCTGATTGTCAACTTATTGTTGACAGGTGCAAATGCATATTTTATAGACAAAAAAAAAAAAAATTCATAAAATTGGGTGGGGAGGGGAGGAGGGAGGATTGTTGTTGTTGGGCTGATGTACCCAATAATATAATACTTTAAACAATTTATTTTACAACTAGCTGATGCACCCTTTATTTACGGGTGTATAGTTAAAATTTGAGATAGAGCCGAATAACAAAGTTTTTATTATGACTATAGCGAAACCTTGACTTCCATAAGTGCTCCCATAAAAAAATTCAAAACAACCCCCCTCTCTCACACCCAGCTTTATGAAATTAAATTTGGATCCCCCCCCCCATAATACCAAATCCATCTCAAAAAAAAAAAAAGATTCAAATTTTAACTATATACTAACTATACAAATGACGGGTACATCAGCTAGTATATATACAGTGGTGGTCATAAAAGCTGGCACACCTTAAATTTTTTCATTGTTTCTTTCCCAACAGAAAAAATATTGCAATATATTCTGTTTATAGGAGACCACTAATAAAGAAAAAAACGATAAACTCATTTTAAAAAATTTGTAATGTAAAATAAAGCAAATGAACACTCTTTTAAATAAAAATAAAACGTTTCTAATTCTTTTTAATTATGAAATCAGAATCTCTAGTATCTAGTGATGCCTCCCTTTTCGTGAATAACTGCCTGCACTCTCGTAGGCATACTGCAAATAAGGTTGGCAACCCGATCTTGAATCTGATCCCATTCACATACTTGGAGGCCACATGGAGGGTTCTGTTGTTGGAGGATGGACCTCACAAGTTGGTCCCTGAGATGCTTAGTAGGATTTAAGTCCTGGCCACTTCAAGGTGCGGATACTAATCTCATCTAGGTAGTCCCATACAATATTTTCGATGCGTGGCCGAGCATTATCCTTAATAAAAAGGAAATAGAGAACGATAAACTTGCCAAAAACAAGGTACCACATATTCTGTGAGGATGTCGGTGATGTGCGTATGTGCATTGAGTGTTGGCCTTCTAAACACATTGAGGTCTGTAATTAAATGTCAACATATCCCACCCATTCTTCTCCAAACTTTATATTGTATTAACTACATTCCCACTATATAAAATAAGGTCATTAGCCCGATATATTGTTCTTTGCTGAAATTTATGTTATGCTTTGCAGACTCATTTACGTTTGATTGACGCATTTATTAGCAATGAAAATATTATTCAATATGAATGAGGCCAATATAGGATATAGGTAAATATAGGATATCCCTTTCTGCTGGAAATTTGAGGAGATGAAAAAAACAAAAAAAAAAAAAAAAAACGATATATTGGCGTTTGATATCGGCCGATCTCTAATATATATATGTGTGTATGTATTTTTTAAATATATCAATTTTTTTTTCTATTTCTAGCTGAAAGGCGGGCTCAATTAAACCGAAGTAGATCAAGGACGGGTCTCGTCAGCAGGGAACTAGCAAGGTATTCTTTCGATTTCATGATTATCAATTAACTATATTTACATTAATTTAAAATAATGTTGAATTATTTTTCAGTGAAATCATTGGATCAGCATGAATCAACGAATCAAGTGTCATAGAACATGATTTATATTAACAATTGGCATCCAATTGTGTATATTATAAGTTAACAGTATAGAATTTCTACTTAATCTACTTTTATTATTTTTTAGAATTTTCTTTTGCTATAATGACATACATTTTAACACGACTGTAATTTTTGTAAAAAGAAAAAGTGATGTCTAACCATGGCAGTAGGGTTATTTAATATTTATTGTTATTTGTATTTATTGTAAATAAGATGTTGATAAATATACATAGTATTAATTATATTTATATATCAAAGAAAAAGAGTATGAAATAAATATTTATTTATTATAAATTCTGTTAATAGCAAGATGTTATATATTTGTTTTATATAATTATACCAATGTAAATGTGATGTTAATTTTTGTAATTGTAGAAATTTATAGTAAATATAATTCAGGAAAGCTCTGTCTGCTATGACATGATTGTACATGTATTTTTTATTAAATTTCTAAATATTATTAAGTATAAAATTAATATGCTGGGCATATTTTATAATTATTTATTAACAAAAAAAATGTTTCTTGGTGAGAAGGTAATAAAATAATAAATGACAACTACCTTTATTGATTATATGCATTTAGGTAACTTAAATGTTGATTTATGGTATACTTAAACCAACCAATTGGTTTCTTAAATATTCCACCATAAAATCTATTATTCTTTGTTCACTATTTTTTGTTTGATATATTATTTTGTTATTTTAAAGTAATACCTCAAAATTAATATTTCTAACAAGGATATAACAAAAAAAAAAAAAAATATTTTGAACACTGTATGTCCTCAGGTCAATAAAAATTATATCTATATTATAATTATACATTCTGATATTAAATAAAATATTACCTTGTATTTTTAAAATGCTCATGCTCTCAAGCACATAATCAAATTTTAAATTGCTCAAAATATTATAAATGTTTTTATGTGAATAGCTTTTCTGATTTATTTTTTTATTGATTTCTAAAACTTTGTAAATGTGATGATTATATTGTAAACGAAATATTACATAAATTATAAATTAATTTTTTTAAGAACTTCAGTTTCTTATTTTGAGCCACTTCTCTCCTTTATTTCTACAGCAGAGGGTTAATTTCCCAAGGAGACATAAAGAACTATAACCTCATAGTTTTTAATGTCACTTTATTTAAATTATTCAGTAAAAAATAGTTCTATTCTAATAAAATGAAGAATTAAGAGAAATTTTAGAGTTTAGTAAATAATTATTTTAAAAGGCTAATGACCCTAAATGTCAAGTCGTAATGCAAGGAGAAGTATCTGAAGCCTTTAAAGTTCAAACTGGCTTACAGGAAAGAGATGGACTCACCGATATTGTTTATCTTACCACTGGAGGCGATGAGTACATCACATGAAAACGAGGGGTGCACTTTAGAATGTATCATAAAATCCTTGGATATGCAGATGATTTACCAGCTCTTGGAAGCAATCAAGAGGGCATTGAGAAATTTGCCAAGACTCTGATAAGAGAAGTAGAGCAAATTGCCATAAAAGTAAATGAAGATAAATAAAATTTATGATAATAAGCCGAAAATCCCTCCCCAATAACATGATCTATGTAAAAGGAAAATCATTCCTTGGATTAGACAAAATCAAATACCTCGGCTCCACAATAAGTCCAGTCAATAAAGGAAGTATAGAATGCATGAGCAGGAACCTAAGCGATTCCTTCAGAAACTTGTTTAGGGTGTGAACATATCAAAAGTCCTGATGTTGAAGTGGTAAACCGGAGGGGGAGGAGAGAGAAAAGGTCACAATTTTTGGATTTTAGCATATATCTCATAAATGGTGCATTGCAGGGAGGATTCTTCATTGAAATTGAAGTTTATAAAATTATCTAAAAATTGTATTTAGAAAGTTTTATCTGAATTATTGACCCTTTTTTAGCAACACACTCCATAAGAGTTGACATTTTTGAGAAAAAAAAATCATTTTTTATCTAACATTCCTCTATAACGGCTATGCTATTTTTCAGAACAAAAAATTTGTTTAAAAAAGTTTTAGAAACTTAAATTCTCTATTAGGATATATATATTTATGCAAATTAATCTCCAACCAGTCTACAGTTACAGCTGATTTAAAAAATTTCATAAAATGTCATTTTCAGAAAAAGTTGTTTTTATCATATTCTTGACCCACAACTTTTGTTCATTTGTCTAATTAAATGTGTGGCCACACTTTAAATCCAATCTATCTATATAAATAAAATAAAGGTTTTGTCTGTACACTGAATAGAATCAACACATTTCATACAGTACAGACACCAAATCCACTTTACAAATTTTTTTTGCCTGTATGTCCACATTGTCCAATGAAATTTTGACTGGAGTAAGCTGAGCAATGGCTAATGGTAGACTTTTGACATTATATTTAGGTTTGCTTGATTTAAAACATAGGCTTTAAATGAAAACAAACTATTGAGTAGAACCAAAGTTATGAATTCTTGAATAACTTGTGTAGAGATCCCGATTAGGCAGTTACTTCGATAGTCAGAGAATACTAAAACATGAAAAAATAATTGGATTAGGCAATAAAAACACTTGTAAAGTGAATTTATTCAAACTAATGTTGAAAATCAAGCGTCGTTTGTAAATAAACAGCCAACAATAACCAAAAATGCCTTGAGATAAAGCATCTAGACAATACTTTTCTCTTTTTAAATCAGTGATTAATTGTTAAAATATTTGAAACAGTTCCTTAGAAAATGCACTTAATCGGCAGAAAAAGTGGTTCTTCTGTAAACGCCTGCTATCTTCTTTTCCATCATTCAGTACTCATAAATGGCATAGCTATAGGGCTATAATAACATTTTGATATAACTTTTATTTGTTTGCCTAATGGCTACTCATCTTGTTAGATGAGATAAGGTTAATAGTAGCGGATCTTGTAGCTCACAGGAATTCTCAACACAGTGATGAATGCCTAAATTGTAAGGAAGTGATCATCTGAAAGGCCAGGTGAAAACCAGGTGGATAGACCGAATCAACAAAGATGCAATAGAGTTACATGAAGAGAAATAGTTCTAGAAAGGCAGTGTTGGAGATGGCTTGTCAAGGTGGCAAAAGATCTACAGTCTGTAATGCCAACAGAAAAAAAAAAAAAAGAAACCTTGTCATTATTTACCAAATGCAAATTATTTTTCATTGGATATATATTTAGGCAATATTAATAAAACTAATTAACTTTTGAAAATGAGTTTTATTGTTTACATTATAAAAAAAAATAACAAAAAATAAAATAATTTAGATAAAGCAATTAATTACATCATAATTGGTATTTCAACTTAAAGGCATAGTAAACTATTCCCCTTGGCATTCTGATAACCAGCAGCAAGTTATCTTAATTGGTGCCTACAAAGAAAGAAAATTCCTACTGAACAATTAACTTTTATTTGAATATAAAAATATTAATATTAAACATATTCACAATTTAAACTATTTCCAATTTCCCATATGACTATAACTAAATTGTTAAGTTTATATAGTCTGTAACATGTATTTAGGAAATACAAAAAAAGTTCCTATTTCTTTTCTTTTTCTTCTTTTTAATAACTTTATATTCATTTCTACATCATTGGTAATTATTTTAACAATTTGACATTTCGGCAACTATTTTCCATTCTTATATGATATAAGCTACCATTGTTAAAGGAAAGGAAAGAGCCAAAACATTTTTCAATCCACCACTACATCTTATAAAGGACATATTGTTGGTTTATTACAAAAAATATATTGTTGATGGAGCTGATTTTTTAAGAACATTTTTGTGAATTCCGTCCTTATTTATTGATAAAAATTACAAAGTACGTGCACTAAAGTGACACAAACACTTTTATGTATCAAATATAGAGCTACAACAAGCAAACAATTTTCTGAATTCATAAAGAGAAGTTTCATCAATAGTGATTTAAAGTTATGAAATGTCACTTAATGACTTTTTTGCAATAAATCAACAATATATCATAAGTGCTAGACTATACTTCCAGTTTGTTGATCAAAAAGTCACTGAAACAGTCTATTCACAGCCAATCATCATGAAGGATTATATCTTCATAAGAAATTTTCTGTTTTGTTTTTTCTTTTAATGCCTGAAAGAGAACCTAAGAATATAATTATTCATACATTGGTATTACAAAAGTATTTTAGTAACAATTAATTCATTCTACCTACCAGTTATCCTTATGTTCAATTCCCTCATCCACTCAATGATAGTTATTTATTTTTTTAATATTTTTCATCCTAACATTTTAAGGGAATTTTTCAGAAATTGTAAAGGCTAAACATAATCGTTCCTTCATCCTCTATAAGAATGAATATATATATATATATATATTTTTTTTAAAGCTTGAAATGAAAACGAAAATTTTGCTACAGCTTCACCACAACAATTAATTGCCAGCGGAGGGCAAATTCATGTGGCACTAAGGTACTTGTCTGATAGCCAGTCAGGACGAAACCACTATTGTTATCTAATGTTACATCACATAACCTCCCTTCTTATCTCCTGTAATCTGTAATTTATTCCATTATTTATTTTTGTTCCTTGTGTAAGCTGTGAGTTGTTCCATTGTTTTTTTTTTTTTTTTTTGTTCCATTTCTGTGATTTTCTTCAAATTATGGATGTTATTACATTCTGGGAATTGCCGTCTTCAGAAGAAGATATATATATAGTTTATTGTACTTACAATAAACAAAATGAGTTATAATGATCCATAAGACCAACAGTGGGGGTTAATCCCGTAGGTCGTAATAGTTTTATAATTTGACTACGTTTACTTCTCATATTTATGATTGAAAATTTTTGTTTAATAAAAGAAACAAAAAAATGCAAAAATCAGGGCAACTTGAATGAAATAAAACACGTAATATTATAGAGGTATGTTGAATGTTGACTTGTGGCTGTCTCTCTCTGGCCAGACAATATTTATTAAAAACTGTTCTGTATCTAGAGTAAATATTTGTTTAGAAAGAAATAAAATTGACATTCGTTTTTTGATCCTCAAAAAAATCCTTTAACACAAATTTTTATAGAAATAACAATATTAACAACGAAACAAACAACAGTGTTGTTTTTAATATCAAAAACTTTTGAAGAGGTTTAGGACCTTTTCTAGAACTATGTTTATTGTTTAAATATCCTTGTTAAGTTTTTCTTTTAATCCACACTTCTGGAACTCCCTTTTAATGTTATACAGTACTTCCCCATTTTATCATGCTTTTCAATTAGGTTATAATTCTTATCCTAATATTTTATTTAGGTATTATGAAATACTCAAGAAAGTCAAGTATACCACAGCATCACTAAGAGGATTACTTATTAGAGGAACATCAGATCAAATTAATTTAAATTTTAACAGAATTCAGTAGAAAGAACAACAAAAGGAATATTTTGCACCAAGTTTTAAGTTACAAATTACTTACTTGAAGTAAATATCAGTTTATCAATAAACATCCATTAATAAATTCCTTATTCATCCTTAAGTCTATGAGAAAATAGTGGATCAAGTGTTCTCAGAATACCATTTTCAAATTCTTCTTCAGAGAATCTGTCTACAGATGATCTGAAATTAAAAAAAAAAAATCCTAATTATTTAATTTAATTAAATCAATTATAGTTTTAATAAACAAAATCTGGATAGATAAGACAACAATCTTGTACTTTTTTATTTTATGTTTTCTTTCCTTCCCTACCTCACCTTATCAGACACGTATTTTTTCCTGAGCCAGGGGAGAGGGAGTGGGATTAATGTTAGAGTTAAAATCCTCCCGAATGGGAACTCAAACTCGTAATCTTCAGTTAATCAGGTAGCCAGGCAACACATGTTTAGCACATGCATTACCCCACTTGACACTACCCCCTCCCCCTCGCTCTCCAACATTCTTGTACCCTGTAGAAATAGTTATTATCAAGAAATCCTTATTACATAAAAGTTTAATAATAATATTAAAATCAATAATAAATAATTTACATGAATCGATAAACTACTAAAATCAATTAAAAAAATAGAAAAAGTCAACTAGATGGTTAGACTAAGATCTAGTAAATGTTTTATTAAATACTTGCTGGTTGACCATTATATATTTTTGAGGAAGGAGATTATCCAGGGTGGAGTTCATAAAAAGACTAAAATATTTAATACTTAATTTTAATAAGTTTATTCACATTGTTTATAATTTGTATCTAAATATTATTTAACTTACACCTTTTCTATATCCTTTGTTCATTCTAGCCACGAAGAAGATCTGCAAAGTTAGGTCAAAACGTTGGCTTGAAATAAAATAGTTTTTTTTACTATTTTAGTCTTTTTATGACCACCACCCAGGACCATCTCCTTTCTTGTAAATATTTAACCAAGCCCTAAATATTTCAATTATTTAAAGTTTCATTTATATTAACAAAATATATAACAGCAAGGATTTCATGATTCATTCATCCCTCATCTGTGCTCCTCTATTTTTACATGATGTTCTTATCAAATTTTTTGTAGCAATGTTGAACAGCATTGATGAGCGTTCATCTCACTGCCTCAAACTTGGAAGGTTTCAGATATATCTTGTATTAGAACTGAGCATTTACAATAATTCGTACAACCCTTCATCGATCCCACCCGTTGTTCGGGAACTCTTAGCTGTTATGATCTTCCAAAGACGATTTCTTTCCATGAAATCATAAGCTGCTTTGAAAATGACAAATAAAACGTGTACATCCTGAGCTTCTGCCAATTGTTTTTCATGTAATTATTATGTACTATTATTATGTAATTACTATGTACTGCTGATGTAATGCTTGCGGACCTGCTCTCATATATTTCGTTTATTGTACATTTATTGTTAGACCCACTCTATGTGCTGCTTCTTGTAGATGCCAAGCTTCTTCTCATTATGTCCAAGTCATCTGCGAAGCCAAGGATTTGTTAAATAAGGTGCCGCCAATCTGTACACCTGAGCTTCTAACAGCACATTCCAATGCCATATTAAACAATAAACAGGCAAGGCTGTCACCCTACCTAACCCTACAAAAGATTAACATATCGAAATACATACCTAGCAGCTTCTCTTATTTTATTTCTAGCTTGAGGTGACATTTTAATTATGGCTGCCAAGGCTCTGGCATATTCATTTTCATCAGATGCTAAGAAACCATTTCGACTACCCTCAGATTCCTCTATAATATCAGCTTTAGGACCACCAGATCTATGCGCTACCATTATTTGTCCAGCTGCCATGCACTCAACAATCCCTAAAATAAAAATTATGTAAAATTAAATATAATTCATTAACTATATTTTCTACTTAAAAACAATCAATGATTCCCAACAAATTCTAGTCCTTCAAATATTGTGCTTACATGAATTTAGTCATCTAAAGTAAAGAGTTTTCTCTTAGATAAGTGGCTTATTTGAATAATCTAATGTTACTTGTTCTTATTTCTTATGGTACAAATTCAATTATGGTTGGTGAAAGGTAATAATTTGAACATTATCTCTCATGGAAATATAAATGGTGGGCTGGGGCTATTTTATTGTATAATTTATTATTTTTTGAATCCTTAAAATGTTGGTTCATTCTTTTTTCAATATTTTGTCTGCATTCACCTCTGTACCTAGTTCTGCCATAAATACTATTACAAAAATAGAACTTTGGGTACAATTTTACAGGGGGGAGGGGGAGGGTTGAAATTTACATCCTTGGGTAATATTTAGATAATCCTTACCTCTAATAGGTAATTTTCTTTACATGTCAGAATAACAATCAAAATTAGTTTGTATCTTCCTTTCGCTCAGTTAACATGGAGTGCGGTGATAAAGAAAACCGAATAACTGTGATCGCCTAACACAAAGTTGGAAAATGTAGGTCAGAGATTTTCAACACTTTGAAACCTTTGGGTATCAGCTGTATGTTCGTGTACCTGCAAAAAAAATTAATTTTTTGATTGCTATAAATATTTGTATTTAAAAAGTTTTCAAGATGCGAAAAACGAATATCAACTTTGTTTTTCACTAAATAAATCTTAACTGTAGATACTAGACTGGTTTAAAAAATATATATATTCGTCAGATAGCAATACTATGGGAACAAACTGGACCAAATAACCTACTACTGTGGGAGTAAATACTTTTTTAATTAGAAACAAAGTTGTTATTCGTTTTTTTTTTTTCATCTCGAAAACTTCTTAAATACAAATATTTATAAGCAATCAAAAAATTAAACTTTTTGTAGGACATTTTTGCCTAGGCTGGACCCTTTGAAATTTGGTCAACAACCACAAAAATTGTGATAACTTCAGGACAACTCCACTGATTCACATGAAAAGTTTTAGGAATTTAGGGTTCTATATGCTACACTGAATGGTATAAACCCGACCTTTCTAAACAGATTAGAATCAAAGATATAAAATAATAATGTTTGAGAACATTTTCTTAATTTATATCAAACTTGCTTTTTGTAATTTATGATACATTACAACTCATCTAATACCTTAGTAAATATTTTTTCTTATTCTGTACTAAAAAAATAAATTGGTATATAATAACCTAAAAATTCAGTCAAAGAAAGACAAAAATAAAAGCACCTATCCCCACATATATTATTACAGTAAGGCTCAAAATTCGTTTTGTACCAAATATAAGCTCCTGTCATGCTCAAATACCATGAATGGGGTACTGTTGGATTAAGAATTTCATGGGGGGGTTAGCGAATCGTATTCTCCACTTTTGTTTTTCTTTCCAAAATAAATAAAGTTGATACAAACATTTTGCTAGGCTTCAATACTGGTACGGTAGTAGGTCTGTAGATCGATACGGGACAAATTGGATCTTAAAGATTTTGATGCGTACAGCAAGACCCGGATAGGTTCCTCCGGAACTATCGGATCCTTCATTTTTAAGCCCAAAAACGTACTATTTTCGAGATAATGCAAGGCATAGGGTTCGCATCCACACAACTTTACATTAATTAAATGTACAGTACTGTTATTAAATACATGTCTCATTTCGTCAACTTGATCGAGAGAGCGCGAGTTTATATTATTTATCGATGATGTTTTTGATCGGCCATATCATCGTTAATTTTTCACCAAATCTCAAGATTCAGGCAAACAAGTTATGAAAGAAAACAAACTTTATTTTCCGAATAATTAAAAAAATATACACTTTTCCTTTGGTCATGCCCATGATTATTTAAAAGATTACTAAATTTCCTACAAAATAAAAATAAAAAATCATCAAAAATCGGACAATTTTTAGCAAACAGCTTACTAAAATTTGTAAACATGTTGGTTCCAAACAAAAATGAAGATTTAAATTAATTTTTGTTTTCTTTGTCGATTATATTAATCGATAAACTAACAATTGATTTCTACATCTTTTGATAGGTTGCATTATTTTATTGTCTTAGTAATTTGGCATTTGAAAACAATATGCTGTGCGAATTTTTCGCACGGGCCTACTAGTACTATATAAAAATAATTATTGAGATTTTTTGGGGAGATGAAGGTACAGTTAAATATGAGAAATCATACGCTGTGGGAAAGATAATAAAAATTTTGGGCATACCTGCCTTACTCCCTGATTAACCCCATGAACAAAATGCAGTAAGAGCCCACTATACTGACAAAATTTAAATTCACTTCTTACCTATTCCAAAATGTTCATTCCACATGGCATGAAGGCCAATAACACTAGACAGTAGCTCCTTTTTAAGTTCATCAAATGGTACATTGATCTGTAATATATTTCATTTAAATAATTAAAACATCAGAGTACTTAATATTTAAAAAAAAAAAAATGCAATTTATATTGATACTTTTAAGTTTTTATAGTAAACTCGATGTATTATGTTTTTATAACTAAAGTGATATACAGAAATCTAATTGGAGTTGTATGGAATGGATGTTGTTATTCAATCTTTATTATAATTTTACTCGATTATTTTTTTCAAACTTTTGATATTTAATCTTTAAAAACTTGGAAACATTTACTTATACATGAAAATAGGACTTGTTATGGCAAGAATTTTGTATAATCTTAGATTTCATTGAAGAATTTATGATTTTTGACAATTTTATTTAAAGAACCAGAATGAAAAAAAAAATTGTACATTTTAAAGTCTTGTAAATATTAAACTAATTAAATATAATATTATAATAAATAAATATAGAAAATATGATATTATAAGTTGGAAGGACTGGGTATAGATCACAATATTTGTTTTAAACGTTCAGCTGTCTGGCTAAAAAAAGAGATTCCTGTCGATAGTTAGTTATAGGTCTGGAATGTTAGTGTTCATTTATTATTTGTTTTTTTGTTTCACAGTCACTTATTATTTGTTATGAAAAGGTTAGTCTTTGAACACATGAACAAGCCAGTATTTAATAGAAAGAATTTTCAGATTTGTGACTGTTCATCAGAGGCACTAACAACTAAGATATCTCAGTGAAGCAGTTCTTCAGGAAATCAGGACAACATGGCTTAATTCTCTTCTATATTTTTATGTTTCTTTTAGAGTTCATTTTATTTTTTTAAATGAAACTTCATCATACAGTTAGATATAGGGAAGTGGCAGCCCCAACACCAGGTCAATGTACCGCAGATAGAGACTTCTCTTTCAATATGGAGACATTCATCCAGTGCACAAATACACCTACAGATTAAGGCACTAGTGTTTGGGATATAATAAGAGAAAGTGGCACATGGCGTTTAAGAAACAATTACGAGCTCCGTGCAATGTATGGCAAACCAGACCTGGTATCATTTGTGAAAAAAGCCGGACACGTGGAAAGGATGCCAGAAAATTGAATTCCAAGACGCCTGCTATATGGAAAAATTGGAGGGAAGCAAAGCAAAGGAAGGCCAAGAATGCGATGGTTGGATGACGTTGAGGAGGACCTCAAGTTGCTCGTGGTAAGAAGATGGAGGACGCGAGTGAGAGACAGGAATGACTGGCTTGGAGTCCTTGAGGATGTCTAGGTCCTTCTAGGACCATAGCACTCAGCAGTAAGTAAGTAAGTAATAGTCAAAGTAGGGAAAAATTAAGTAAGTGACTAGGAGCCAACGGATTTCAAGGAGAAATAGGTGACAGAAGTAGTTTAGATGTTTTAAGATGGAAATGGTACGGTGGAAGATGTTGGATACATTGTTTTTCCAGGAAAGCGTTTCATCAAAGGTTATTCCAAGGTTTTTGATGGGATTATTATGTAGGAATAGAGTCGGAATATGAGGAACAGTTTTAAGGAGATGATTGGAGCCAATTAAGATTGCCTTTGTCTTTCCCGTATTCAACTTCAACTTGTTGGCTCTCTCACAGTCACTAATCTTATCCAAGTCTTCTTGAAGCAATGAAATCATCTGCATAGATATGGTATTGGAATGATGGATCAGGAGGGGAAGGTCATTAATGTAAATAGCTAACAGAGTAGAAGATAGAACCTTAAGGGACACCACAAGAGAGGGGGAGGGTATTAGATGGAATTTGACCTGGGACGAATACGTACTGGGATCGATTTGAATAGAAGGATTCGAACCAACGCAGGGCACTGTTGGATAGAGGAAGATTGTGCAATTTCGTAAGGAGGATGTTACGGTCAACTGTGTCGAACGCTCTGGAAAAATCTAGAAGGATGAGGATGGTAAGGTTTTGGTGTTCAATGGATTTTTGGAGATCATAGATTATTTTAAGGAAAGTAACTTGGGCTGAGTAGCCAGGTCAAAAACCAGATTGGAATGGGTTGATAAGGGACGTTCTTCTAGTAAGTTGGAAAGTTAATTTTGGAAAAGGCGTTCTAATGGCTTTGAAAGATTGGATAGGAGATAAATAGAATGGAAATCGTGAAATGGAGGTAGGGTTGGTAATTTTATTCATATAGAAGGATATATGCAACAAAATGATATGAGAAAACTCTACAAGCTCATAAATATTGAAAAAAAAATCTTGCCATTGGCGATCAAGTGCAAGTAGAGGCTTCAATAGAAATTTAATAGAATTTCTGATGAAAGTAAATTAAGAAATTCTGATTTAATGGAAAGAGCATCTTTAGACTTTACAAGATGGTAATGATACTGAGCAAGACCCAACATCCAATTACCTGAAGACAACATCAAGCTTCCAGGCAGGGATGAAATATTATCCAAATCCTAAGAAATAGAAAATAACCAGGAAGAGATGGATTTTCTGGGGAGATATCCAAACAATTTTTTTTTTTTTTAAGATATCCTAAGAAATTGAGAATTCATGTCCAATCAGTTGTTATAAGAGCGAATGCTATATCCATTAATAATTAGATTAAAATAGCTTCAAGAATCACTACGTCCTGACATTTTTGTCATTATAAATGATATCCAGTATAAATAAATAATTTTTAGTGTGTATGTAACTACCCAAAACATGTAGAAATAAACAATTAAAACATTAAACTAGTTTTTCCTTACTCCGTGTTCCTATTTGATGTTTGATTTTTTTTTTCCTTATGCAACTAATCAAAATGATTTGAAAGCTATAATCTTTAGGCCATTACCGATTGATAACTATTGATTCAACATTTATAAATATTGTTTATCGATATTACCATCTGTTTAGACCCTTAATTTTATTTTTATTTTACACAAAATTATAAACAGTAAGTAAATTATGATTATAAAGTATTTTCGTTCGGTTTAATTTAAACAAAAACGTCTATGTATAGGAATCGAGAGAACTTTATATAGTTTAATTTGAATGTAAAAAACAATCACCTGTCTTATCGACTAATGAATGGTAGCCCCCCATGATGAGGTGGGGCTTTATGAATGGAGATCAAGCGTCTTTTTTCTCTCGCCATCTAGAAGCTTAGAGAGTTGAGTAAGCATCTCCCTTTAATATAGTCAGTGTCTACCATTGTTTATATTTACCTAAGCCAGTGGTTACTTTGCTGTACATATTTGCTGGTGCCTCTACGATCTTTAGCTGCCAACTGGAATAAGAAGAGATTCGCCTCCAATAGTAAAACCGGTAAAATCAGGCCTGATTATTTTTTATTTATTATGTAATCAAACCTTTTATAATAGAACACCGCCATAGTTTAGTTGCTTCACCATAAATATCCCAGCGAGAATCTCGTCTTCATTTATTTTTGGAATGCAGATAATAGACATTGCTTAGTTATAATTAATTTCTACTTTACATTATCTTTATTAGTTCTCAATTTTATATCACTATAAATTTAATTTGTTGTTTTTTCTCAAATAATTAATTTTGAAGTTCTTCCCCATCTTTTTTTCTTTCTTTATTAATATAATTAATTTTTTTCCTGAGGAAAATTTCGTTATTATTATCATATGTACATATGATTATAATTTTGTATAGGTTATATATCATTATAATTTTGTATAGTTTAGGTTAATTGCATGTTGTAATCTCTCGATTCATAATTAAATTAATATATTCTTTTGTTTCCCAATTACTTTCTCTTCTTTTTTTCTTTCCCATTTTTTACCTTATTTATTTTGTTTTAAGGGTTCAAATGACTGGCACTTATTGAAACGGGGTTGAGACTATGTTGATATATTTTACAACATCGCTCTCCTCATCACTATACTGACCTACTTGGGTCTATACTAGACGATAAGCTATACTAGATGTTTTTATAATAGGTTTATATTTTTCCAAATTTTAAGTATGAGCACCCTTAAATTAGAATATATTCATGACAAAGTTCAAAATTAGGAATGAAAATTCAACAAGATTGTCTATTGGATGAATACTCTGACAAATTAATGTTCTCTAAATATCATTAGTTAAATATATTAAATTACCTTAAATTCAACATTATTTTCAAGAGAAAGGTGTTTACACAAATCTTGCATATCTTTTACAAGAATATGGTCCTCATTGTGCCGACATGAACCAATAAACACCAATTTAACCTAAAAAAAAAAAAACAACACTTAATACGAAGTTTAATAAGGAACTATATACGAAGAAAATAAGGAACAGGATTTTTATTAATTCATTTGTGTTGAAACTTATAAAATGCACAAAAGAATAATTAGTAAATGAGATGTAGTGGAAATACATGAACGTTGGGCCACAATGTACCTTGGGCCACTCTAAGAAGAAGAAATTTCACAGGGGAAAATTCAGGATTTGTGCCAACATTGAGTAGGCCAGAAAATCTTGGCTCATGGTAGAAAAGTTATTTATTTATTGAAAAGTTATTCAAATCAGCCGTGGGACGATCCTGGGGTCAGGAGACCCTCCTGAGGCACATCCAGCCTTGATAAAGTTGAGCTTGATCTCAGTCAAATCACCTCCCTGCACAACTGTTGATTAAGGAACACTACTTTTCCTAAATAGTACTGAACCCAAGACCCTTCATGGGTTGTAGTGGTACAGTTTTTTTTTTTTTTTTATACTGAATGAGAAGTTTATATAATTTCTTTTCCTTAATTGTTTATTTAAGGTTACCCAATTATAGAGGCTGGGTGCGCCTCAGGGTCTCCTAACCCCAAGCTTAATCCACGGCCGACAATACAGAATAAATAATGTATATAACATCAGAAGGATTCCGACCTGGGACCTTGAGTATTGGAAGTCAACACCCAACCACTGAGCTACCCCAATCCTCATATATAGAAATAATGAAGATGAGTTGGTTGGGGTAAGAGATGTTCAGTCACAAGTAACAAAGTAAAAATAAATAAACTATATTTATTTTTACCTATGTTTTGACCCAAGGTTGAGGTCTCCATCAGGGCTAAGAAAAGAAAAGATAACATAAATATGATAAATAAAAATAATAATATATAGGTAAAAGGTATAGTCTAATAACATGTAGATAGAATAAACTTAAGATTAATAAATATTTGGAAAGTAAAATATATGATATATAAATAAAAAGACTATAAAATAATACTAACAAACATATTTATTAATTTTAAGTTTATTCTACCTACATATTATTAGACTATACCTTTTACCTACATATTATTTTTTTTACCGTCTATTTATTTCATATATCTATGTTATCTTGTCTTTTCTTAGGCCTGATTAATGCCTGAAACTTGGGTCAAAACCAAGCAAAAATAAAAATAAATATATTTCATTGATTTTTACTTTGTTACTTGTGACTGAAGACCCTAAACAACTCTTCAATATATCTCCATCAGTCAATTATTTATTGATAAAAATCTCTTTTGTATATCTTACCCTTTCAAATATCTGTTCAGAAAGAAGATTTCTTAATTCATAGATTGCTTGGAGTTGGAGAGGATGGTCTTTCTCAGGGCGATATTGACCAACTGATACAATTTTGATTTCGCCTCCTTCACCTAGAAAAATATAAAGAAGACTGATATTACACAATGTGACCAATCAGAACTTTTCGTGAATTATTTGTATTTGGTTGGCTTTGATAAAAGTAATAATAAAAAAATCTGGTGAGTGCATCACACAACTTTCACTTACAGCTCTACTTCGAAAAGCAATTCTTGTCAGGCAAAATTGAGCTGTTACAAGAAGTCTTTGAAGTACATTTTTAATTAAGCTAAAACTTAAACAACATATTTTTTATTTTCAGTCATATTCATCAATACAAAAACCCATTAAGACCATCAAAATAACATAAACTTTATTCATTATATCCATCGTAGGCATTAAAAACCTTAAAACTGCATAAGTCTATTTGAACCACTTAACACCAGTCTCTGAGCTCTATAGAAAAAGAGAGATTTGAATGTACATATACTTAATTATGAATAAGTAAGTTCATGAGCACAGTAAAAATTATAGGAATTAAATCTCTATCACTTTTTGCATGTATTTCAATACTTATTTTTTGTCCATGAAAATATACCAAATACAATTACTTGCTTTTAAATACAGCATCGATAGGTCAAAAGTTGTCACACTAATTGTAAATGTATAACATGATTTCACAAATGGAATTTTTGTTGGAATAAATCAATGACAGATATCTAATTGTTTATATATAATATCGGATCTAAAGTTACTAAACTACAGTTCATAAACATATGTTTTGCCCATCCATGAAATATTTTTATATTTTACTTTTTATTTAACACAAATAGTATGAAATAGTATTTAAAACAATGTCATTTCCTTGATTCGGTGAATTTTAAATACATTTACAAATTTAAAAAACAAATGAAATGTCTACATTTCAACTTAAAAAATTTAATTTAATTTCCTTGGAAACATGTGATTTACGTTAAATAATGTTAGTTTTCAGAAATTATTATTTACTAGCTGATGTACCCATTGTTGACGGGTGTATAGTTAATATTTTAGAATCTTTTTATGAGATGGATTTTGTATTATGCGGGAGAGAGTCCAAATTCAATTTCATAAAATTGGGTTCGGAGGGAGGTTGTTTTGAAATTTTTCATGGTTGTGCTTATGGAAGTCAAGATTTCGCAATAGTCTTAACAAAAGCTTTGTTATTCGACTACTTGTTTAAGTAGCCTCAAACACAACTAAACCGACCACCACCGATCCATTAAAATTTGTTAAGTGTTTAATTTTCATATATGATGAAGTGAGGAAATTGTGGAGTCGATTGAACTAATCAAAGAGTTGTAGTTTCTCCACTTCTTTGAGCTCTGCTAGGTTTATCACTGGCAAAATAACATTGAACATTGAGTCACCTACATCCGTGTAAAATTAGAACTTTATCTGAATATTGTGGCGGGCGGGGTGAAATTTTTGGGAGTTTTTTTTTCCTGATTTCCGGCTAATCCGTTTGGTTAATCTTAAAAGTGTAAAAGACAACATTTGTTAGGCTCGGGAAGTTGAATCGAATGACACCTTGAACGGGAAGTTCGGAGAAATTTGAAAAAGAGTGTGTTTGACCCATTTTAAGCGTCAACATGTTACAGATGTTCGGTATTCTGGATTTTCCTGTTGCGTTGTGATAATTTTTCCATCAGTTGAATAGCCAACTTTTAAATGTGGCTCGCAGTAGAGTAGGTTGGGATGGAAATCGAAGAAAGTAACTGCCTAACCGGGATCTCTAGACAAATTACTCAAGAATTCATATCTTTGGTTCAACTTAATATTTTGATTTCATTAAAGCCTATATGAACCTAAATATAATGTCAAAATTTAAAAATTCTACCATTAGCCATTGCCGAGCTTACCCCTGAAAAAATTTCGTTCGAAAATGCGGACATTCAGAAAGACAAAAATTTTTTTAAAAGTGAATTTGGTGTCTGTAATGTATGAAACGGAAGGATATCATGAAACAGGTTGATTCTATTCAATGTACAGACAAAACCTTTATATTGATGATCTTTAACCTATAAACAAATGTTTATTATAAACATTTATTATCAACATTAACCGAGATCTCTAGACAAATTACTCAAGAATTCATAACTTTGGTTCTACTCAATATTTTGTTTTCATTTAAAGCCTATCTTTTAAGTCAAGCAAACCTTAATATAATGTCAAAATTTCAAAAGTCTACAATAAGCCATTGCTGAGCTTACTCCTGACAAAATTTTGTTGCAATGTGGAAATACAGACAGATAAAAATTTTTTTAAAAGTGAGTTTGGTGTCTGTAATGTATGAAACGAAAAGATATCATGAAGCGGGTTGATCTATTCAATGTACAGACAAAACCTTTTTTTTATTTATATAGATATTTTTTTGCATCCCGTTACCTTCTACAACTTTATTTATTAGATATTATTTTTTTCTAAATTTCTCCGCTTCCAACGATAAATTGTAGGTATACCTTCTGACTATTATTTCGGGAGATTTGTTTTCGACCTGGATAAGCATTTTTCTTTTTTCTCGTTTGTTCATTTATCAAATTACTACAAAAGTTATATTTAACCTTTTTTCATAACTAGTAACAATGAGAGATAATTAATTGTTTAAAATAAACAAAATTAAAGGTACTTTAGAGGAAAGAATTTTGAACATTGGACATTTAAGCCCTGTTAAGCGACATGAATGGGGATAAGACCTAAATGATATTAAAGATCACTTAGTTAACATTTATACACTGAATTCAATCAAAATCGTTAGCACCATTTTTGAGGAAATTGTAAAAATATGTAAAATCGTTGATATAAAGTGCTACTTCAGGTTAGCCAATTCTTAGGAAAAAGTTTCTGCAACATCCCAGGCCAATACTTAACTTAAATATGTATTTTCAGTTTCATAAGACTTTTCGTTTTTGAGCTAGACTGTTCACACCGTTTCCATTTCTGTTGAAAACTAAGATTCAAAAATTTTCACAATCGTAATACTTTCTCTTACTATATATTTCATATATAGGTAAGTGAAAGTAAAAAAATTAATTTCAACGATGAGCGGGAAGGAAGGAGCGGCCATAAAGACAGCATTAGCTGACAGTTCTCCATGCCCCCATGATGGAATATTTTTCATGCAGTAGAGTACTCACCACTTTAGCCTTTTTATTTAGGGAATCATTCAAAAAACCAGGGCCCAATGTTCATATACCTCTTCCTCTAAAAAAACAATATATAATATAGAAAGTTGTAGAAGGGAAAGGAGAGTGGCGAAAACATTATAAATAATAATATCAGAAAACTAAAAATATTTAATGTAAATCGCATGTTTCCTAGGAAATTAAATAAAACTTTCTTACTATATGTAAACTTTTAAATGTTTTTTTAAGATTGAAAAAAAAGTATTTAAAATCCACGAAATCAAGCCAATGCCATTGTTTAAAACACTATTTCATTGTACTTGTGTGAACGAAGAAGTAAAATATAAAAATATTTTATGAATATGTTTATAACCTCAAATATATTTACTATAGAGTATTAACTCTAGATAAGATATCATATTTAAATAATTAGGTACCTATCGGCTGTTTATTCCAAAATATCAAGTAACCTTTTAGAAAATTAAATTAATAAATAATTTGATTAATTTATCCTTTGTGAAATCCCAACATTATCCACTTACAATTAGTGTGACAACTTTTGACCTCTCCATGGCAAGGCAATGAAAATCTCGTAATTATGTTTTAGTAAACTTCACAATGGAAAATAGCAGGTTATTAACTAATAGTCCTACGAGCCATAATCATTTATAGGTTAAATATTCAGATATACTTTCAAACCTCTGTAGGCATATATGAGTCTTTCAGTTGACAGAAATAATTAACTCCAATTTGAACATTCTTTATTATACATTTTAGTGATGTTTCTAGTGGCAAAATTTATATCTTAATTCACAGTTCTATATTTCAACACTGCAATCACCTACACCGGAATCAACTTACCCACTGTCTGTATAGATAACTTTTTCAACTAGAAATATCACTAAAATGACATAACTAAAGAATGCTGAAATTGGAGTTAGTCATTCTGTCAACTGAAAGGCTCAGAGACTGAAGTTGTGTGGTTTATAAAACCAGATGGAGTACTCAGATTTTTATTGCTACCGTAAATATAATTAATAGACTTTTTTAATTTTAATGGTCTTAATGATTTATTATCTGTAAGCTTTAAGCTTTAGCTCCGTTTAAAATGCAATCCGCAAAATGAAAATCCGTTCAAAAATTTTATAATAGCCCATTACCAGAAAATAATTTCTATTCCAAGTAGAGCGGTAAGTGAAAGTTGTGTGTTGCGCACACCAGATTTTTTATCTAACTTTTATGCAATTAAAATGTGACATTTCATAGAAATATGACTTTACATACAATTTTCAATTATAAAATATGAACTTTTACATCTTTATTTTGTATAAAATTGACCTTTAATACAATTCAATGAATCAAAAGGTAAAAACAAAACCGCTTTATGTTTCTGTTAGACTCTTTTCTTAAAATAAAAAAAACTGAAATATTTTATTATATTATCCTGACAGGCTCATGACTCACAAATGAGTCCACCATAGTCTAGGCCTGATTCTGTCTCGACTCATACATGAGTCCATCACTGTTAAAGGTTTAAGATTGATATATAAAAATACATAGAATATTAAAAAAGAAAAAATATAATACTTACTTATGTCAGGAGCCATTGGTGCTGATTTCAGGGATACAGTGTCACAAGGGGGGTATACTCTATGGGTGGATAAACTACAATTCCATAAACTATTTATATGATCTTCAGTCCAAGATGAATTCACCATTACAGTATCAGCAAAACTTCCACAAAAGCTATATAGCTGAAAATTTAAAAGTAATTTAGTAATATATTGAATGACTAATTAAACATAAAACATATTACAGAGATTAATGACTAGCTGTCCAGGTGGTTCAGCCAATTATTTATATTCTTTGCAGTACTTCATTACGATCAACATATAAATGATGAAAATTTCAAAAATCCAAAAAAATAATTCTTCTATTGACAAATATTTATTTAAAAAAAAAAATAAAACAATTTAACAGAAATCGTGATTTATACTATGCACAGATAAATTGAACAAAATGCAAATTCATTAAGAATGGAAAAAATCTATATCACTAAAAGGAACTTTTAATATCACAAAATTAATGAAAAAATTACCAAGTACATAAAAATTAACTCAACATTGCAAAATACTTGTAAATGATCCATAACATACAGTTCAGGAACAAAAGTTTACATATATCTGAAAATTAACAAAATAAGGAATGACAAGATATTAAAATGAATTGCAAAGTATGTTTAATAACCATACATTTATATTAATAAAATTTGTATGCTATCAATAAGAAATCATCTTTATTAGTATAAAAATAAATAAATAAATAGTAACAAAAGTCAATATATACAAGAAAAATGTATTTCATAAATTGAGAAACGAGTATTTGTTGCTCTCCCCTATTGCAATCATGTCAGGAGATAAGTCTTTGAGGCACAAAGTGTACATGATATGTGGCTGTATTTGGAGATAATTAATTTTATTCCATCACGTTAGCATTTTTCAAATAATTTTTTTTCTAAATTTTATAATTTTACATCACGAATACTAAATAAGGTTTTAACCAGGGAAGGGTTAGTAACAATCAGCATAGTGATTAGAGCTGTATTCTTTGGGTCCTCACGCTGCAAAATTCAGTCACTTTCTAGACTTGACTTTCAAACAGATATTTTTAAATTAATTTCTAAAATTTGCATAACAGATAATTCTAGTTTTATACATAAATACCCTCATCTGATTGTATAGTTCTCCAAAACATCACATACCCATCACCTTTTTTTTTTAACTTCCATTTTCATCCTCAGACATCAGTAATTATTATCAACACCTAAAAGCTTAAATCTTTACCTTTACATAAATCTACAAATTCATATGACTAAAAAAAACATTGTAGTTTTTTCTTTGTCATCCATTTAAAAAATTCAAACTCTTGCCACATCACTATTATGGGGTGCAAATTAATTCTCTAGCAAAACAGAAATCTTGAGCCAAAGCTATATTCATCTTTTTTTACTTTCCTACCTATACAAGTTAAGGTGTGCGATTGGATTGCAAATTTCCAATATGCGGTTTTCAATGTTTCAGAGCCCCCTAAGTCTGAAAAACACATTTTTAGCCACTGATCTAATTTAATTTTTGTCTGTCTGTCTGTGCCTAGATTTTCTCAGGAACTACTCAACCGATTTTGCAGCTTCTTTTTTTATTTTGAAGGGTTTTGACTACTGATGCCTGTGACAGAAATTGGGTGCTCCATGAGCAATAGCATGGGCACATTAAATGAAGAACATGCTTTTTTATAGAGTGTAGCACAAAAACGGCTTTAATGATTTTGATGAAACTTTCCTATATTGTTCTAATAAATGTCCTTTCGATTTTCGTATATGGACTAAATTTCCTAGAAAATTCAGGAAAAAAAGTTATAAAGAAAACAAAAATGTATTGGGGTCTAACTCGCTAAGTGTATATACGGTAAAATTTATAATAAAACATTTGAAAGGTAATTAAATTACCAACAAAACAAACAAGAAAAATCATCGAAATCAAACCAGTATTAATGATGATACAGCTTATTCTATTTTGTACACATGTTTTAATTAATTACTTTCATACCTATACTAGGTAAGGAAAGTATTGCGATCGGGTCAAATTTCTAATACGCTGTTTTCGACGGATCTATACGTTTCAGAGCCCCCTGAGTCCGAAAAACATATTTTTAGCCATTGGTCTGTCTGTCTGTGCAAAGATTTACTCGGGAACTACTAAAGCGATTTTGTTGCTTCTTTTTTTATTTTGTAGGGTTTTGACTACTGATGCCTGTGACAGAATTTCGGTGCTCCATGAGCAATAGCTTGCGTGCAATAAATGAAAAACATGTTTTTCTATAGACTGTAGCGCGGAAACGACTCTAACGATTTTGATGAAACTTTTCTATAATGTTCTAATAATTGTCATTTCAATTTTCGTATATGGACTGAATTCCCAAGAAAATTCAGGAAAAAAAGTTATAAAGAAAAGAATTACAGGTTCATATCCTGGTGACAGGAAGGGGTGAATGAGAGAAAAAAGATGACTAAGTGAAAGTAAGAAAATCTTTTGCCCGCATCACACAAGCTTCACTATTTCCTATACTTTTAACAGAAATTATTGTTCGACAGAATTAAGCTATGGCAAAAAGATTTTGATCAGCAATATTAAAAAGTATTGAAATTTTTACACTGATCTACGTTAAGCCGGTTTACATTGCTTTAGTTTATCAAATAAATCGTACTCTTCTTTGATCAATTTTCAGGAAAATATATCTAATTCAATTTTTTTTTCTACATGAACATATGTAAAGATATAAAAAATTTTTTGAAATAGGTGGGAGAGTCGTGTGAGTGGACATACCAGATTTTTTTTTACACTCAATCAACCATAAATTCTATTTATGGCAATCTCAAAGTTTTTGTGATTGACTGTTTCCTAATTTATTTATTTAATTTTTAATCAAATTACTTCACTTTATTATTGTCTGAACACCAGGAAAGATTCTTTTAACTTCCTTTATAACTATCCATTAAAAAAAAAAATATTCATCATGAAATTAAATAATGATGTCATGCACTACTTTCAGATTTCTGTATCAAATATTCATTATTAAAACAATGTAATGATAAGTTAAGAAATAAATAAATTAATTTGTAATTTTTTTTTTAGCTTAAAACTTTCACTCTTACTAACAATATGAATCACAACAAACTCATTTTTAACACCATTTTATTTAATAATACATTTACATATGCATATTTAATTTTGTTTTAATGAGTTGTGTTTATTCATCTCTCAGCCATAATATAAACATTATCAAAAGATTTTTGTATGTAATATTTTTTTTTTACCCCAAACTATCTCTGAATTAAGCAACATTTAATTGAATACTGTAAGTAGTCTTATTTTTTAACAGCATAATAATAATAACTCCTAAATGAAAAAATTAAATTGATAAAACATACCCAGGAAAATATCTGATAATAAATTAATTTAGCAGAAGATAAGAAAGGGCTTCGAGCGACAGTAGAACTGTTATTCCGAGCTGTATTTCTTAAAGTCACACGTTTAATCATATCTTTTGTAATGGTTGGATAATGAATATAGCAGGCAGTTGTGCATTTACCAATATATGAGAAAAGAAACAGAGTAAAAGAGTACCCCATGCTGTCAATATAAATATCTAAAATCAAAAATCAGATTGAACATATACAAATATTAATCAAATTTATTCAGTAGATAATTTCATAAAATATCATTTGATATTCTTTTATTTAAAAGACAGAATAATTCACCTGGAAGATAAGCAAATAGAGCTTCAAAGCCAAGTATGACAGATCCTATTGACTGCCCCAACAGAGTAAAGTACGGATACCTAGGAGCTTCTACCCAATGTCGTTTATGAAGATAGATAAATTCAATATCTTTTTTCAAAGTAATATTAAAAGTCTTGGTAACTTTATTAAGAATTTCATTTGGTGAAGCAATAAGGTCACCAGTGTACACAGCAACTTTAACATTAGGATACCTATAATTCCAAGAAATAGTAAAAAATAAAAATTTTACAAGATATTCTATTAGTAATTAAGCCATTTACGATGGTATTTCACCTATTCTGAATAGCACGTATGGCACACCACAGGACTCTTTCACCTCCACCACCAGCATTGCAGTATGGATGGAAAAAAGCAACCCTTAATGAATCATCATCATTTTTTATTTGTTTTCTCTTATTAATGCAGTGCTAAAATTTAAATAAGGAACTATTACATGATCAACTCTTGTATGTACGTATTTTAAAAAATACAGAATGAATATTACCTTTATTAAAAAATATATAATCAAAATAGGAATAATACATATTAATGCAAGTAAACCAAAAAATATCCAAATCATTTCGAGCATATTTGTTTTTATAAAAATTAAATCCAATTTTCATTAAATAGGGGGAGAAACATTAAATGAGTTAAGAATAGTTAAATCATTAATAATATTATTTGGAGACTTTGAGATACTCTTATCAATAGAACGCCATAATTTCCAACAGTATCATAACCATAATCCGTAGTTGTAACCTCTCCCTTATATCAACACATTACAACGAGTTTTGAAAAGATCTGATTATGCAGAACATGGAACATATGGAAGAACGTAGTTTCTCTTTTTTAGCCCGCATTTAAAATTTCCTTAAGAACGAGTATTTTTGTATGGATGCCAGACATGCTGGAATATCTGAAGATGGCTTATAGAACATTAACGGTAGTACAATAGTGAACATACTTCACACCTTTCCATCGCAGACATTTTTCCATTCCACTAAAAATTCATAAAATATGACTGGCTAAGTCTCTGCGATGAAAAGACTTCAAATAAGCTAGAATAAGTTAAACCAACTGTGAAGAACTAAGCTTCATGATACTGCTAATTAAAAAACAAAATATCTGGTGCGTTGCGCGCATCACAATACTTTCACTTACCACTCTCTTTTTAGCAGAAATCAGACGAAGTGGAAATGTAAGTAAAATTTATAAACACTACATTAATTTATATTTCATTGTAGGTATTTTTATTTTTATAAGTACTCTTATATATACAAATTTTAATATTTATATTGCTGTAATCTATACAATTAAATAATACCAACAATTAGTATCTATGAAAACCGCATATGTATATTTACATAATATTGCCGGAGTCCTTATTATATTAAGCTCATGTTACGTATGAAAGCGTGTTCTAATCTTTCATGTGAGCTTGAGTGTGCTTGTATTACATTGTGGATCAGACCCCCCTACCGTGCAATCCCTTCCCCCACCCCCATATCCCTATAAATTGCATATCGTTGTGTCACTTGTAAATATTTATTTAAAAAAAGCCAATGTTCCCACAAAAAAAAGTGAACGAACTGCTCCAAAACGGCTTCAAAACATGGCGGACTGACGACTTTGACTTAAGTTAGTTTTTTGGTCTCTGAGAAGACCACAGCTGACTTGCCAATTGCTTCGAACAAATCTTTCTTGCTGATAAAATATTCTTCACCATAATAAATCTGCCCCCTTAATGTCATCCAAACTGCTCCAACATTTAACCCTCTTTTAGCAGCATCTTGAAATATTCTGTTAATGTATCTACTATATATTAGTTTAGCCATATAATGGATACTGATCTTGTTTTCTTTTCCGAGAATTTATCACTTCCTTTTTCGTTCGCTTAATGTATTTGACTAATGGGGTTAAATTTCCCTTCTCCCCTCATTTCGAGACCAATTACTATCAGTCGTTTCCGGTTACCCAGAAGAACTCATAGCTTCGCCCCTTCCGCCTTTGTTTGTGCAGAGAGAATAATGCATTCAATATAAAAATTTCCTATTTGTTTATGATATGGTTCAACTTCCGAACAAAATAAAGGAAATAAAAATTAATTTTTTTATTGGTGGTATATGAGATTTACTAAACAACCCATCAACTATTCATTATATGTACATTTCAGGGACATTTCAAGAAATTGGTCTGGCTATAAATCCTCAAAAAAGCATGGGCATCGTTCTAAATAAAGCAGAGCTGGAAACTACTGTGCTCTCCCTTGTGAATGGAGAGTACATCCAAACATTGAAGAATGGAGATACGAATAAGTATTTAGGATGTACATTCTCGGGAGAGCTACAATTCAACGAAGATCCGGTGACTTAATTGAATGATAATCTAAACAGGCTGGTAACCTCTTGCTTACTGAAACCTGAGCAGAAACTCAACATTGTCAATCAATATCTGTTCCCGGTTCTTATTTACCCTCTCCAAACTGCTCCCCTCACAACGCTGTGTCCTGCCATACTGGACGGCATCGACACTATGATTCGCAGGTGTGTAAAGGCCATTATTGGACTCCCTGCGAATACTTCCACGGCGATGTTTTACGCCCCCAGGAGGTCCCGAGGATAGGGATTAATCCGCTGCCAATGAGAGGGCCCTCTTCAACATTGATCCATTGCTCAGCGACTGTCCAATGTACCAGATGCTCTTTTTCAGTCTACCTTTGATTCGGCTGAAGTTGCTGAATGTGCCGAGAGATTGGGGGTTGATCATAGTCATCGAAATGTGAGAGCTCTAAGGCAGTCGCTACGATAAAATGCATTTCAAATTCAACTTTTTCCAAATCAAATTAAACTTTTCCCAAGTCAAATTCACCTATTTCCATTTCAAATTAGACCTTTTCCAATTCAAATTCAACCATTTCCGTTTAATCATTATGTAACTTTTAATGAAAATTAAATTATTGATTAATTTGATAAATTTTCCCTTTGCGATATTCCAACAAAATCCACTTACAATCAGTGTTACAACTTTTGACCTGTCTATGACAGACAATGCAAATCTCTTAATTTCGTTTTAGTAAACTTTGCAATGGGAAATAACAATTTAATAGCTAATAGTCGTACAATCCATGATCAACGGATCGAACATTCCATAATCAACGAATCGTACAATCCATAATCAACCGGTAATGTAATAAGTAGGACTTTTGTTATTTTAATAGTATTTATGATTTGTTAGCTGCATTCTTTCAGCTTTAGCTCAGTTAAAAATGCAGTTGAAAAATTTTATAATAGCCCAACATGGCTAGAAAATGATTTCTATTCAAAGTTGAGCGGTAAGTGAAAGTTGTGTGATGCGCACACCAGATTTTTTTTAATGCCAAGACAATTAAAGTAATAGGAAATTCATTATTATTCATGTAAAAAAAACAAGATTGCCTATTTGGAAACCTTCTTCTTTAGTCGAAGCGAGATCTTAACTAATATAATATTGACTCAATATAATTGACCCGTGTGAGGTACTCCTTCAATATATTTCCTTCCATGTTATTGCTTCAATAATATTGGCTCAATGATATTAATCGTGTAAGGAACCCTTAAGTTGCTGTAGAAAAGGTAGTTTTAATTTCAGTTTCGCTTTTTTACTAACCTCCAGAACATTATATAGTCTCATTACACTTTGGTGTTGTCGGGACAAAATAATACATTTCTATAGAATAAAGTATTTTTCAATGGTATAAAATATATTATGTTGAACGAAATAAGCAATGAAATTATGTTTAGTGAGTATTTAATGAGATAATATAAATTAAATTGTGATACGTGTGGAAAAAACTGACATCAACACTAAAATCCTGATTGGAAATAATTTAGAATAGAGTCTTCTGTGTCACAACACCTTAGGAGTGAGTCGGGTGGTCAACAAGACTGGCAATATCAATATATTGAGGGGAGTTTCACTGGGTGGAATACTTTCCACAGCACTCTTCAATGTGAGAATTGATTCCCTGTACACAAAAATGTGTGATCCAAGAGTTGCGGAGGAATATGGGCACAAATTATTCGATGGCCATAATCCTGTTTTACTTACAGGTTTCGCTGATGATCAAGTGGTGACCGCTTGCAGTGTTGAAACTGTGAAGAGGGCAATAAATTGCATTCGAAGAATACTTCGTGAGTTGGGACTCTCCATAAACCCTCCAAAAAAGCTCCGGAATCATCTTTGAAAAGAGAAACCTAATAAAATCCAGGTTTTGTGATTATACTGGAGAAATAATCAGCTCCATTGAAGAGGGTAACACTATTAAATATCTTGGGTGTCGGTTCTCTGGAAAGCTAGAGGTTGACAAGGGTTTTGTGTCGGAAGTAACAAGAAACATAGAAAAATTGGTAATCTCCTTATACCAGAGCAGAAGATAAATATTTTCAACGGCTATATCTTTTCTCCCCTAATATACTAACTACAGACGGCACCATTGGAAAAATTATACTCACCTATTTAAGTACCTCTTGGAGGCTATAGACATCATAATGCGAAGAAGTGTTGAGGCGATAGTAGGTTTACTGGCCAGCACATGCTCAGCGATGATATATGCACCGCGGGGCTATAGAGGCTTTGTTATTTTATGATGTCAATGGGAGGCTCTCTACAGCACTGGTCCATTTCTTAAAAATCGGCCAAATGTAACAGATGCCCTGTTTTTGGCGATTTTCGATTTCAGAGGTAAACTAAGAATATGTGCTTATCTGTTAGGGATCGAAATGAGTAATATGGAATAACTAACAGTTAGGAAGGTGAGGCAATCTCCAAGGAAAAAGTCCCTTGAAGAGTGGATCAAGTGCAAGTGGCAGGGAATTGGTGTTTCTCATTTTAAATATAATCCATGGACCAATAACTTCATTTATAATAGAAAAGTCCTCACCGGCTCAGAATGGACAAACGCCATAAAATTAAATATTAATTATGCTCCTCTCCGCGGAGTACCAGGGGCCGGAAGCCAGCTCAAAGGAGATGTTGGACCCCACTACCGCAAATGTGGCAGAGAATCAGAAACCACAGCTGATGTGTTGGAAAATTATCCGCATACCATGCTCCTCGTCACCCGCCGGCACAATAATATAAAGCATCGCATAGCCGAGTTACTTCAAATGAAGAACTATAAATGTTTCCTACAAGTTTATTTCCTGGATACGGAAAGTTCGTTGACATTTTGGCGATCAATACCAAGGAAAAGGAATTACTAATAGTGGATCCCACGATCAAGGGAAAAAACATGGAACATATCGCAGCAAGTGTAATTTTATATGAGCTAAGATTTTTCTAATTCTACCTTAGCTTGCTGTGTTCTTAAGGAAAGTGAACAATAAAATATCTGGGAAGAAGAGGGAGGCGAGTAGGTTCTTGCTCCATCGACCTTGTGGGGGATGGGCACCCCTGATTCTGTGAACCGTTTTTGGCATATTTCTATTATATTCCAATGGTCAGACCTAACTATCTTTTACTCTTCTTAATATTATCGGTGAAGTGATATGTATGCTGTGTGGTTTAGCAAATCAACATAGTTGATCAGCCGTGCAATATTATTATTGTAGTTCTCTCTTGATCATAACCTCTTTGGGTTGCAGTAGACAAGAGATCTGCAATAATTTGCGTATACTTCTGTTACTTCTTTATTTTCAGATTGTCCAATTTTTTGTTATTGACAATGAACATTGTTCTTTGTTAATTTTTAATAATCCTTTTATTATAATTAAATATTTTCAGTCATGTTTTCGTTAATGAACTATGTTTTAATCCTTGGCCTTTTTAATCAAATGATTACTATAAGTAAGTATTTTAAGTTTTAAAAACAAAATACTTTGTTTTAGTTTTCTAGAACATGGAGATTATACACTATTAGGCTATTTAGTAATGTCTGATGTTTAATGTTTGCAAGTCATGTTTTCACTAATATACAGATGCTGAAGAAGAAAATTGCACTGACTTTCTGGGAGAGGTAGTCTCCCATGGATTGTTATATGTACCTGGCCCAAATGTGTGCTCATTGTGTGTTTGTTATCACAAAGAACCCAAATGGTGCAAAACAATTTATTGTGATGGTCCGCCCTATGTGAGTTTCAATCTTCATCTGCTTGTTTGTAATATCTGTTGCAATGGAATTCTGACCAGTCTTATCATTAACTTATAACTGTTGTTAATAACTTATATTTATTGATAGTTGAGTATTGTTACATTTTTAACTGCTTATGGCTATGTTTATGAACTGCAAGAACTCAGCTAACCACTTTGACTGGCTAATCAAATACTTTTTTTTTGTTACTTTATTGATTTAATCTTTCATATTCTTGTTGTACAGGAGATCAGTTTTATATTTTAGTTGTAGGTGATTTTTGTATATTTTTTTGTCACTATTGATTCAGATCAACACATATTAGCAAATTTTTATGTTTTCATTTGTTAAATGTTTCATTGTAATAGCACCTTACTCATCAACTTTTATGAATATTTTTCTGTTCACTCTTTCAACTTTTTATTTTGCTTGTTAAATCATTGAAATTGTTTGTATGTATATATTTTAATTTGAAATTACAAGTAGTGAAGCTTTAATCCATCTGAAATACTATTAAACAATGATGTTCTTTATTCTAATAATTTTTAACAATTTTTGCTTTTCTTCATTTATATCGATACCTTTTATTATATGGGAGACAAGATCAAATTTTGCATGTATTGTTGGGTAATCTTGTTTAATAGAAGTGAGTGCTGTTGAAACTCAAAAAGGTCTTCGTTAGTTTGTTATTAAAAACTCAGAATAGGTATTTATTGAATGTTAAATTTTCTTGATATATTACCTTAATTAGAAGTTAATATTTAAAGTTTTTTTTTTTAGTTTTGGTGATTCATTTGAGGTATTTATCATAAATTTGTCACTATTATTTAGGGGTCATTTACACAGTACCAATCAGTGGTGCCAGTAGCTGGCATTCCAGTTGACTAGCGCATAACGTTTAATGCTCATTTACTCGCTGCCAGTCGCTGACATTCCAGTTGACAAGCACATAACTTTTACACATTCCCATTAATTTAGAACAATTCGAGTGTTATGCGGGACTTTAAAATACGTATTTATTTATTTAGTTTCTACAAATGGCCGAAAAACTACAAATTTGCAATGCATAAACCTGTGATATCGCTTTCTACCATGTTACAGTGGCCAGCTTAAGTTTTTATAAATTAACTGATAGGTGATAAAAAAACGATTCTTTCATACATATTTTTTTATTTGAACGCCCAATTATAAATTCAACACAAATCTTATCAATATTCTATAAATTGTTTGCATAACAGCAAAAACATACTTTTTTATAACAAATTAAAGTATAAAATAAGAATTTTAATGTAACAAGAGTTTTCATTTTACCAGGATAGGAACCCTTAGCCCGAACGGTTATTATCCAAATTAACATAGAATTCCTCTCCAGAGTCCAGATTTGAATCCCAACAAATGTTTATGGGCTTATGTTGATTAATAACTCGGATATCAAAATATATGGAAAATTCTATTTGACTTCAAAGTTGGTCTAATCAATGCCCAAAAGGTATTCTAAAACAAAGAACTGTATTCTAAACATTAATAATTTATCAAAATAATTTAAAATTTATTTATAAATAAATAAACAAATTATTGTGTAACAGTTATGTACAAAAAGTTTTACTGCAATTTTAACTTTTAATTTCTTCAATTTTAACTTAAAATTCTTATTTTATACTTTGATTTGTATTAAAAATATATGTACTTATTGTTAGGCAAATATTTTTGAGTAAATTGATATGAGTGGTATTGAAGTTATAAATATGTGTTTAAATTTAAAAAATGTATATAAAGGAAAAAATTGTTACTAATTTTAATATCTCATATCAGTCCATGTATGGAAACGTTTTCTGGCCACTGTATATGGAAAGTTTTTAGAAATGTGTGACTAGTAGCTTCAGAGCAGAAATCATGGTTTAGATCTTAGATCAATAATAAGCATTTAGGAGTAGCTGAGACAGTTACAGAGAGCTACGTGAAAATGACCCACATGAATAGGACAGTTATAAACAGTTGGTTTCTCTGTCAATTAATTTTTTTTTTTTTTTTTTGTTTAACAGGTTCTAATAGTATGTTGACCACGAAGTCTTGATTTTCTTTGGTATGTCTTATATGGTGAAGTTCCGGGGTATTTGTCTATTCTATAATAGCTTGCATAGAAGCATTCTTCGCCTCACAATTGCGATATTCTCTGTTCCAGATGTTGCATAAATTGTACCCTAATACGTCCAAGTGACTTGGTTACGTACATTGGTTTGAGGTTTGGAGGATGATGTAATATAGCCCCTCATTTAGACTTCTTAGAAATTAGATTGACTCTAGCCTTGAATGGCCTTAGTCGCCTATAGAGTACATTTTGGGGCCTCGGATATTGAGCTACGATGACCATTTACAATGGAGTGATGTTGGGTATTCTAAGATATGCCTGTTCTGCATAGTCTCAGAACCTCTTACATTGTAAGAAAAACAAGTTGGCGACAATTGAATATACTTGAAGTTCAAAAGTGAAGGCTCAACTGGTTTCCGGAGAATATCGGCTTGAAGATTGCTGAAGAAGAGAAAAAGATCATCCGAGAGGATAGCACAGATAAATGGAATCAGTGGTGGGTGACAATCTCGAAAGAAGCAACCATGAGAAAATGTTTCCTCAACGTCCGAAGTCGCTTGGACGTGAAGCGCGTTTTCCTGGACTACTGGATCTTTCAATTTCAAAGGAACAGGGCTTGGGTGTTTTCGCGGTAAGTTGCATAGCCTTGGAAAAGACATAGGTTCTCTATGCCCCACTTGCGGAATAACGGTGACAGCAGGGCATGTCATTTACAAAAATTTTGTGTATGGGTGAGAAGCTGCTATGGGACCGACACACTTCTATGTGGAAAGAAAAAGAACACCTTATGGAAGGTCGCCAACTATCGAAAATGAAGAAAACTGAAAATTGTTAAATTATTTGTTATTTAATAGCAGAGATGGCATACACGTTTGTGATATGTCATCTCAGGGAAATCTCATTTAGCTGAAAAGCAAGGTGGTAGAGGGGAAAAAATTAATAACTTTTTATTCTGATGTTGTAAAGGGACAAACTTAAAGATTTTTCCTTATTCCAACGAACTGCTTTTTTTATATTCAACAGAATGTTTAAAGTTAAACTAGTAGACGGTAGTTGTTTAGCATAGTACTCCAGATGACCCTACAAACGAAATGAGAAAAAAATGACAAAACCCTATTATGATCTTATATGCCATTATTCATTTCTCTGAAAATTTAATATGTTCATATCAATAATAATTAGCAATAATATCAATATCCACAATTTTTTAAGCTTATATTACAAATATTGGTGTTTGTACAGGATAAATAGTTTTAAAATTTTGGTAATCTTGTCTTCAGCTAATTTGTATTCAGTCGTAAATTTTCATCAACCTTAAAAAAAAAGTTACTTAAATAAATATTTTAGACAATTTGTTTTGCTGGTTAATCATACCTTGCCGAGAGTAGGGGCTTGCCAGTGTGCCAGTCAAACGAAAATATTTGTTTTACTGGCTTGTTCCAATCGACTGGCGGGCCAGTCCCTCACTAGTCTCTCTCGTGAACTATTCGCTACCTATCTTGCTATTTCTAAAAGAGGCGGATTTTGGTATAGGTTGGACTATTCAAGTGGTACAATCAAACCTATTCCAACCGGAGTGGGTCGAAACACTCGATTCTCATGTCTTGAGTTTTTCAACCAGATATTCAGATATAGTTAATAAAGCCAAAAGCCCTTTAATAAATTTTAAAGCGGTTAATACTCTATGTAATTTGTTTTATAGAATTTAATGGTAAAGTATGTTTGGTGGTAAGAGAAATGTGAAATGTTGTTTTTTACTTTGTATTAATTATTTCATTTTTTTTTCTAGTTCCTGTACCAACCTAAATCCATTTTATATCAATTAAATATTAATAAAAATGAAAACACTGATGATCTTGAAACGAAATTCTCCGCAATCTCAATATTTTTAAACACACACATAAGTAAAAATAATCTACTTATCTGTTTCATATAAAGTCATCTTATACTAAATATAGTTAGTCAATTTCTATTATATGTGACATACTTAATAAAAACTATAGTTAAAGGTATAGAAAAAAAAGATCTTAATGTGTTAATTACATAGTATGATTTCTTTAAATTCAAGTTCTTTAATCTTATTCATTATGGTTTAATATTATGTTTCAACAAACAGATATATCGCTTTAATAAAAAAAAATCAAGCGGTTTCTTCCTTCTTAATATTTCTATAATAATTATTCATTTTATTATAACATAATATAGATATAACTAGAGCCAAAAACTAGTCTTATATTTTACAAACACTTAAATAATTATATTCAAATATTAATAACTTCTAAAGTGGGCTGAGACGGAATGACAGTTTTCAAATTCACAATCAAATAATATCTCACTATGTTTTTTTAATTTTTTAATGCCATCTTTTCAATAAAGTCAAATGAAGTTTTGTAATTGTTGAATTTATGAAAATGTATAAAAATGAAAATTTTAAATCCGAAAATAAATTACGTAATAAGACTGGTTATCCTGATCTTGTTGTTGTTTTAAAATGTTCTGAATACATTGTACTTATTATATAATATTTAAAAGATAAGATTAATAGCTAATGCTATTATAATTAATTGAGTAGCCAAAGTTTTTAAAAACCGGACTTTGAGCCACATAAATTAAAGTGGTCAACTTTTGAAGACATTTATTAAAATTATACTATTTTAACATTTTGGAATTGGTTAAAAGCTTACTATAATATGTACCCATTTTTAAGTCATTTAGAAATTACGAAATTTGGTCAATGTCGCGAGATTTGCTTGACTCATCCCACTGTGTAGAGTGGGAAAGTCGAGATTTATTCCATGGCTCCACTTAGAAATAACTTCAACTTACAACACAAGAACCATCCTAAAAAACAGGAAGAGAAGATTGACAAAATATGTTTAGTAGGTAGTATTACTTTAGAATGTTCAAAAAC